AATAAGTCAAAGTCGTCATCGCCGCTGTCCTCAGGTGGTCCGATGGGGTTAGGTGTTTCGCGAGGAATGATGGCCGGGGGGACGAACATTGAGGCTTTGGGTGCGTATGGTTCCGTACCATAGGATCGGTCTCGGATTTCTTTTCAGATTTATCCTGCCTTTTGGGTGTCGTTGACTTTCGTCTCGCAGCTTTATGTTCAGCTGGCCTACGGGATGCTAGTATTAATGAAATAGGAGCTATCGCGCGTAACTCAGTCTCTAATGTATTAAGATATTTCACCTATCGCGCGTAACTGTAACATGAAAATACAATAAGTTATGCGCAAACACAGATAGGAGGGAAATGGTATCACCTCAGTCTCGTAATGGAGAACTGAGGGAGAGAGAAAAATTACGGCGTCCAGCGTAACTTATACGACTGGCGCCAATATCGCTTAAAGCGATTGCCAGTGTCAACTGGCGATATAAGACAAAAGAAAAATCGGGAGCGCGTAGTATCGCGACTCTGAAACAATGGTCGTTGTTAGCCACGATGATATTAAGTTAAAGAAAAACTCCCCAATCCTCGCTGCAGCTCGGCTGTTGTCGATGAGCGTTGATATTCCAACAAGTATATTAACAATCCTCTACCATCGTATGGGAAGGAATAACCTCGTCCGCCTTGCGGGCGTCCTCTACCGATGTATTACGGGGCTAGTCCCCGGAGCGGTATGTCCTTCGCTCTCTGAGTCTGAACCATTGGATGTCATAGAGATTGTTTATCGCGGCACAGGGATATGGTCAGTCTTCACGACTAGCGTGCTCGCCTTGCTTCGCCAAACCTGCGCAGCATGCACGCATTACTTCGGACTCAGCGACAAAATGTTTTCAACGTATTCGAGGTTTACAACAGATAAAGAACGTAAAGTCATGTAGTCCGCAAGAAAGGACACGTTCTTTCAATACGTAAAGGCACCATGACTGAACACGACTTTGAAGCACTCACACACTAAACATCCGGAAGCACAAGCCCATCCAGATTGATGAATGCAATCATCCCTTCCCCTCCCCCGATGCAAACACGATTGCCATATTGTGCGATACGAGAACTGGGCATAAAGTAGTCAGGAAGCCAACAGACGCGAAGGGTGAGATTTCCCCGCCTGACACAAACAGCATGGCGATCAAGGTAAAAGGAGGGTGGAGCAGATGGGCTGAGCGATGGTGAAACTGGGGGAGATATGTCTTCTAGATTTGGGACGCCTAGATATTTTCTCGCTCTGAGGCCCTCGACGCAGATCGTTGAGCCGTCTGCGGAAAATGCAAGTTGACGAAGATCAAAGGCCGGATCGAACTGTCTCTGTTCAATGCAACTCCCGTCAGCAATATCCCAGAGACACACGATGGCATCCTGAGAGGCTGAGACCAACTGGCGGCCATCGGGAGAAAATTCGACGGACAAGACCAATTCAGCATGTCCCTTCAAACCTCGATTAGGGACGTCTGTCGCCGCATCCCACCAAACAACTGCGGTGCCATCATTCAAGGCGGTGGATAGGTGTCGACCATCCGGCGAAAATTCTGCAAATCCGACGAAATCGGTGTGCCCCTTGAGATCTCGATGGATCTCTCCTGTGCCGATATCCCAAACGCGGAGGGCGCGGTCCCTCGAGACCGAGGTCAGATAAAGGTTATCTGAGGAAAACTTCACGGAAAGGATTGGACCCGTACCACCTTCCAGTGTTCGAAGAAGTTGCCCAGTGGCTACATGCCAAACATGCGCATTGCCATCATTCGAGGCTAAATAATGGCCGTCCGGTGAAAATGCAATGGAAAAGACCCAATTGGTATGACCGTCCAGTACTCGAATATTCTCCCCTGTCGCCACGTTCCAAACACGCACAGTGTGGTCATTTGAAGCTGAAGCCAGCAGACGGCCATTGGGTGAATATGCTACAGACCTAACCCAATCTGCATGTCCCCTCAACACTCGGAGAGACGTCCCCGTCGAGGCATCCCAGATACGTATGGCGTGGTCGCTGGAGCCAGAGCCTAGATAACTGCCATTCGGGGAAAAGGCCACGCAAAGAACGCAATCGGTGTGCCCTTTCAATTCTCGAAGAGGTGCTCCGGTTGCGGCATTCCAGATACGGACGGTGCGATCGTCAGAGGCCGAGGCCAGATGACGACCATCGGAAGAATATGTGACGGACCGCACCACACCAGTGTGTCCTTCTAGCTCTCGAAGCGCCGCTCCCGTTACTACATGCCAGATGCGGAACGTACCATCTAACGAAGTCGAGGCTAGGTGACTGCCATTTGGTGAAAATGCCAGCGAGAGGATCCCACTTGCCCAAATCTTCAGTACCTGCGGTGGCCATGATTGGTTGCTGTCCACATCACGGGAAACAATCCGGCATTCGATTGGCCCATTCCTCGGGATTACCGCATTCAATGCGTTACTCGATGGAATAAATGATTGGGCGGCACCAAGTATGGACAGGGATGAAACTGCGAGGGCACCCTTGAATTGCGTGGCTAAACGGTACAAATCACGCGCTACATAACTCAGGTCCAGGCCTTGCGTGTCAGATTCCTACCAGGCAAGTGAGTCACAGCCTATCATTCAGGTTCCAACGTACCAGCCACTGTTGTAGTTCTTTCAGCCCCTGGCAAGCTTTGGCAGTTTTCCCCAATATCCCCATCATTGCAACCCAGTGACAGAGCGCCGGGACGGAGCAGGACAATGCCTCAATTACTTCACTACGTTGGGACTCCAACCTTGGAAGGAGACTGATCCAGTGACAGCAGGCGAACTCGAGCTCAGGTGTCATCAGATTTCCCAATTCAATTCGAAGATCGGGGATTTCAAAATCCATTTGGAATCGCCACACCATTGGGAAATCGTCCAGCGCCTTACACTGTACCAACGACTTGAGCTCTGACAGCATAGCCTTGCGCACCAGCACCGGAAGGGGCTTGAGAAGAAGTGAACTTGGGTCGTCCCCGATTGGATCATAGGTCATCGAGGAACGTCGGTGCAGCGGAGGATCCCCTTTCAGCTGGTGAAGAGATCTATTAGGTCATTGACATTTGTAGGGGAAGAATGTACGTGCCGACGATTCTAAGTGGCTGGCGACACTTATTATCAGAGTGGTCATCCCATTAACACTGGACACTGAGTGGTGCGGAGACGTCCGAATAGACAGCGTCCATGATGAGAAGCTCTCTCTAGCAACATAACATGTCAGCACCGGTGGCACAAGAACCACGGCTCACAATGAACGTTTAGCTGATTCACTAACTCAGAGAAATTACTCGGGATTAACCGTGCGCCTTGAACCCCATAACATGCACGCAGATGCTCGTGTAACGTCTGGTGCAGCATATAAAGCAACCCTCGCGTGGATGAAAGGACTTGTGTTGCATCAGATGCACAAAGAATATGATCGACCGACTTCTGGCTCGACCGAGGTTAGCAGTGGTGCATATTCGAAGGAAACGTTCTCGTACATAACAATTTATTATAGTATCGAGGACAGTCTCGACAGCCCCTGATACTCTTGAATCTGCAATCAATGTAGTAAGTTTCAAAATTGACTCCGATCTGGAATTAATTTCGTTCAGCACCGACAATACAACCTTGCGCATCAGTGTCTGAAGGGGCTCGGAAAATGAATTGGGGTCGTCGCCGATTGGGTCATAAGTGTTTGCGGAATGACGGCGCACTGGAGGGTCCCCTTTCAGCTGAAGAGATCTATTAGGGAATTGACCGTTGTAATGCTATGATATACGTGCCGATGACTCTAAGAGGTTGGTAATACTTGTGATGAGAGTGGTGATCCCATCTATGGGGGACCTTGCGTTCTGTAAAGACGTGCGAACGCTTCGTTCCCATGATGAAAGTATTTGAGGCAGCTCTCTAGCAACATAATATGTTAGCGGCAGTTGCACGAGAACCACGGTTCACAGTGAGTGTTTAGCTGATCCACTGACTCGGAGAAGCTATTAGAGATTGTCCGTGCCCCACGAATCCCGTAACGTGCATGCAGATGTTCATGCAATGCTTGGTGCAGCACAGAAAGCAATCTTCGTGTTGATAACAGGATTTGAGGCGCATCAGGTGCGCAAAGAATATGATCGACCGACTTCTGCCTCAATCGAGATGAATGATACGCGTTCGACAAAAGAAACATTCTCGTACATAACAGTGTTTTATAGCATTCAGGATAGGTTCGATGGCCTCTGCTACCCTCGAAGCTTCCATCAACGCAGTAAGTCTCATAATTGAATCTGATTTAGAATTAATTTCATCTGGCATTGATAGCACAACCTTGCATATCAGTGTTGGGAATTGTTTGGAGAATGAACCGGCGTCGTTGTCGATCGGTTTGTAAATGATTGAAGAATGTCGGCGCTCTAGAGAAGCCCCTTTCAGCTGGTGAAGAGATCAATTGAGCAATCAACCACTACATTGGCAGGATATACGTGCCGACGATTCTAAGAGGTTGGCGACACTTATCATCAGAGTGATCATCCCATCCACATGCGAAGATGTCTCAACGCCCCGTTCCCATGTGAGAAGTATCTGAGGCAACTCCCTGGAAACATAGTATGGTGTAGGAGTTGCACAAGAACTGCAGGCCATGATAAATGTGAAACCAATTCACTGACCTGGAGAAACTGCTCGAGATCGTCCGTGCTCCTTGAGACCCATGACATGCATGCAAATGCTCGTGAAGAGCCTGGCGTAACATAGAAAGCAATTCCCGTGTTGATGAAAGGATCCGAGGTGCATCAGGGGAACAAAAAATGTGATCGGCCGACTTCTGACTCGATCAAAATCAGTGACGAGACAGACTAGACGAAGGAAAGGAATCTCGTACATAACATATTTTTATAGCGTTCAGGACAGACTCGACGGCCCTCGAAATCCTTGAATCTTCAATCAACGCAGTAAATTGCGAAATCGATTCTGATCCGGAATCGATTTCATTCAGCACCGATAGCACAACCTTGTGTATCAGTATGGGAAGGGGCTTGGAAAATGAACTGGGGTTGTCTCCAATTGGGTCATAGGTAATTGAAGGTTCTTGGTTCACTGGAGGATTCCCCTGCAGCTAGTGAAAAAATCTATTGGGCAATTGGCCGTCACAGCGGCAGAATATACATACTGATGATTCTAGGAGGGTGGTGATGCTTGTTATTCGGATTGCCATCCCTTCCACACGGGACGTTGTGCTCAGCGGAGACGTTTGAACACGCTGCCGCCATGACAGAAAGATCCGAGGCAGCTTTCTGGCAACGCAGTATATTAGTAGCAGTTACACAAGAATTACGCAGTGAACGTTTGGCTGATTCACTGACTCGGAGAAATTACTCGAGATTATCCGTGCTCCTTGAATCCCATAGCAGGCATGAAGGTGCTCATGTAGTGCCTGGTGCAGCGTAGAAAGCAATCTCCGTGTGGATGAAAGGATTTGAAGTGCACCAGGCGCGCAAAAGATGTGATCGGCCAACTTCTGGCTCAATCGGGATTAGTCATGATGCATGTTTGACAAAGGAAACATCCTCGTACATAACAATCCTTTATAGCATTCAGGACAGACTTAGCGGCTCCTGTTACCCTTGAATCTCCAATCAATGGGGTAAGTTTCAAAATCGACTCTGATTTAGAAGCAATTTCATTTGGCATCGATAGAACAACTTCGCGTATCAGTGTTGGAAGTTGCTTGGAGAATGAACGGGGGTCGCTGCCGATTGGATCATAGGCAGTTGAAGATTGTTGGCCCGGAGGATCCCCTTTCAGCTGTGAAAAAATCAATTGGGACATTGGCCACTACCTTTGACAGGATATACGTGCCGACGATTCTAAAAGGTCGGTGACACTTGTCATCAGAGTGATCATCCTATCCACACGCGACGCTGTGACATGCGAAGATGTCTCAATGCTCCATTCCCGTGATAGAAATATCCGAGGCAGCTCACTAGAAACAGAGCATATTAGCAGCAGTTGGGCAGGAACTGCGGTTCACAACAAATGTTTAGCTGATTAACTGACTCGGGGAATCTGCTCGAGATGTTCCGTGCTCCCTGAATCCCACGACAGGCATGCAGATGCTCGTGTAGTGCTCGGTGCAGTGTAGAAAGCAATCCCCGCGTGGATGAAAGGATTTGAGGCGCGTCCGGTGCACAAAAAATGTGATCAGCCAGCTCCTGGCTCAGTCGTATTTAATGACGATGCACATCCGACAAAGGAAATGTTCTCGTACATAGCAGTTTTTCATAGCATCCAGGACAGACTCAACGGTCCCTGCTATCTTTGAATCTCCAATCAACGTAATAAGTTTCAAGATCGACTCCGAGCTAGTATCGATTTCGTTCCGCACTGATTGTATAACCTTGTGTATTAGTTTTGGAAGGGGCTGGGAAAATAAACCGGGGTCATTGCCGATTGGGTCATAAGAATTTCGATTAGGATCCCCTCTCAGCTGGTGAAAAGATTAGACGATTGACCGCCGCAGTTGGCAGGATATACGTGCCGAAGACTGTAAGAGGTTGGTGATACTGCTAGTCAGAGTGGATATCCCTTCCACACTGGACACTGCATTTTGTGAAGATGTCTGAACAACCTGTCCCCATGACATAAACACCTTAGGCAACTCTCTAGAAACATAATATCAAGAACTGCAGTTTACAGCAAATGCTTTAGCTAGTTCACTGACTCAAAGAAACTACTCGAAATTATCCGTGCTCCTTGAACCCCATGACACGCGTGCAGGTGTTCGTGCAGTGCCTGGTGGAGCGCGGTAAGCAATCCTCGCGTAGACGAAAGGATTTGAGGTGCATCAGGCGCGCCAAAAATGTGATCGACCGACTTCTAGCTCAATCGAGATTAGTGTTGATGCACATTCGATGATGAGAATATTCTCGTACATAACACTTTTTTATAGCATTCAGGACAGACTCGACGGCCCCTGATACCCTTGGATCTCCAGTCAATGTGGTAAGTTTGAGAATCGACTCCGATCCAGTATCGATTTCTGTCCGCACTGATAGTACAACTTGGCGTAATAGTATTGGGAGGGGCTTGGAAAATGAACTGAGGTCATCGCCGATCGGATCATAGGTAATTGAAGAATATGGGTTCATTGGACGATCCCCTCCCAGCTGGTGAAGAGATTAGGTGATTGACCATTGCATTGGCAGGATATACGTGCTGATGATTTTACAAGGTTGGTAACGCTGGTTGTCAGAGAAATCATCCCATCCACACTGGTAGCTGAACGTTTCGAGGATGTCGGAAGGCTCCGCTTCCATGCTTGAAATACTTGAAGCAACTTCCTAGCAATATTACAAGCTGTTGGGTAAGACGTGTGGATATTCAACTGATCCACTGACACTGAGAAACTACTTGGGATCACCCGTGCCCCTCGAACCCCATAGCATGCATGTAGATGCTCATGTAGTGCTTGGTGTAGCGTAAAAAGCAATCCCCGCGTGGATGAAGCGATTTGAGGTGCATCAGGTGTGGAGGAAATGTCGCTGATCGACTTCTGGCTCAATTCGGGTTAGTGGAAACGTACATTTGACAAGGGAGCTCGCACCCAGCGGTCTTGTATAGTATTCAAGACAGACTCAACAGCCTCTGTTAACTTTGAATCTGCCACTAATGCAGTAAATTTCATAATGGTCTTCGATCTAGATTTAATTTCAGCCGCAATATGAGAATACGTCAAACGCCTAATGGGTTTTCGGCGGTCCGACCCAATATTTGGATGGTTAAGAAATCCCCTCTGATACTGGGCCCCGAACCCCAGCACCAACATTTCCTGAATAGTGGAAACAAAGAACCAACAGTTTTCCTACGCGAGGCTCGCAGATCAGAACATGATGAAACAAGGTCAGACTCTGGGGCTCACATTCCTTAGATTGTATGCGGGAGACTCTTTCGCAATAGCATCCAGAATCCGCACAACTGCGGTTAAGGGGGCTGGGATCAGGAAATTCATGATGGCCTCCTCACCAGATTCCGTGTTTGTGTAATCTAAAAGGTGTTCACGTTGCCCAGAGAGGGCAGCCTGTTCGATACCGTGCTTCAGTTGCAGTACAGGCAGTGCAGACCTCACCACTTACGGTGTCGACCGCAGCTGACCTACCCCGGTCCCGCGTTGCGAATGTCAGTAATGGGACGGTGTGGTCTCGTCGACGATCTAGGCGGAGGTAAAAGTCCCTCTCGTCCGCCCTCCGAACAATGTGAAGGATAAGAAATCGATGTGGCACTCCCTCCAGATCACCATAACGCTCAACCGATACAATCTTAGCATCATCTACATGATTACTCTTGAGCAAGCTTGCGCAGAGTTCTTGGACGGAATAAGTCCTATACGGCCGAGGACAGTCCAAATGTTTAGAGTAAAATGAACCTGCCGACGCAAAAGCTGTTGTGTTAGTGATGTGACTCGAATGGGAATGAGTGGGCGATGTAATGATGGATGAGACATCAGAAAAAGTGGCGGTTGTCCGGGAAAGCCACCTGCTCATTCGGCCGTGAAACGACGGCGCCATCACAGAAGATGCGTCGTCAGACGCAGCGGGCCCGAGTGAAGGCTCGGTGCCTTCATCAAGCTATTAAAGCTAAGTCAATTAAAGACCGAACACTGCACATTAACCTTACGTCGTAAAGGAAATCGTCTACCGAGTCCTGTCCAAGCGACAGAGGTCTGATGGTAACATCGCTATCCGTGTCACTGATGTACTCTTCATCCGGTGCGCGCTGACCAGGCGCTGGTAACGTGGATATCAATTTCAGAACGAACGCCTGAACATGAGGATCGGAAGTGCCATGAACGTCACTCACGGTCAACGCCACCAATGAGATCCCCATTATGGTGCCCGGGAGTGTCCATATCCGAATGTATATCGATGTCACACGGTCAATCCCTCGCTTGAACGTGGCAGTAGAGGCAGAAAGGGGTGAAGCACTAGCGCACAGCAGTAATCGTTCTAAAGATCTGGGATTCTCTTGAAAATTTGAAATGAATTGTTATCGTTGGGGTTCTCGGTGAAACGCGACGGGACTGATGGGGCGCTAGGAGGTGACGGAAATGTACGAGGACAGGTGCTAAGATTGTGTAAGGCTGGTTGGTAGAGAGGAAGAGCCGCGCATGCGTAATGAATTGCGCCTGCAACATGTTTGTTGCAAACTTGGCAATGGGTTGTTGAACTCTATTTAAATTTTGTTGATGCGTGGCAGTGCGGTTATCTCGGAACATGGGCCTCGGTTCTACGACCCCGACGACACCAATCACCTATACGACACTACACACCAGTAACCCACTTTGTATTGACGATCCCCTCATGTACTCTCCGGTGCACCCAAACGGGATAGCCGCCCTGCCACGTGATAACGAGGGCCGCGGGGTAATAAAACAGATCCACCACCGCCTCGGTTCTACGACTCATTTCTTGGCGTCCAACGTCACGAGGGACAATCCTATTGTCGCTTAAAACCCTATAGAGGAGACCGAAAGCCATGGGAAATTCGTCTGTCAGGGTTGGTCAGGACATCTGGGGTGGTTTGAGGGTGGGAAGGTGGTGTTGGCGAAGAGAGGGGTCGGAATGAAATTAAGAGGGTTTACGATGTTGATGTCGTCGTACGTTGCTCGTGAAGATTGACATGACAAGGCCTGCCTGGGCCGGTCTGTTCGTGGGAGTGCGGCTTGATCGAGGATCCTTTGCGCGTTGCAAGATTCTCTTCTGTGTCCAATATATGCTTGGCGTCTCGCTGCTTTTCCTTAGAGACTTCACTTTCGTGTTGGTCTTTATGACTGACGCGCACTCATGTATCCTAGCGTAACACGCTAGCTAGGTAATTAGGTTGTTGCATTTAGTTCAACAACGTTTGATACTGAGCGTAAATTCGCTACCTTTCTATCTAATACGGCATGCAACCCCACACGTGACACTGCCAGTGTAGGACTGCTGTGGGATCCTTGGCGTGTAAGCCAGTGCAGGGTATTCTCTGACAATACCATACACGGTCTGCACACGTGTGACACAGTGGGACTGGACCGATCGGATGTGGAGTTCCGCTGGCCGGGAGGCTCTAAACATGGCCTTCATGACGCAATCTCGTTCAATGATATACGCCTAGCTGCGAATTTGCAAGCTGGACAATTATATACACGATCAGTAGTAGTGCATATTCGGTCAAAACTCTTCTGGCTGTATGAATGCTCCATTAACAATTCGTCCAAGATGAGTAGAGGTATAGGACGTTCCTTGAGCGTGGCGTGTTAGCGTGGGTACTTCGGGCTGCTAGAAGAACTCACCCTTCCTCCGGAGACTCGTTAGCTGGCGGATGAACGGCAGAGGACTAATATCAAAGGGGCAGACCAATCTCATTTCCACAGTACGCCCCTTGGGTAGGACAAAACCATCACTTTGCGTTTCTACTTCGTTCCTCCCGTCATGACTGATGTTGATTCCCAGAAAATTGCAAAGTTCGAGATACGTTTCGAAGTCGTTGATGTATAACTGGCCTGAGAATATATTGAGCTGCGAGACTGTGAGCCTCTCCGGGTAAGTCCACGTCGTTGGTAGGGATGGAATTGTGTAAAATTTGAGATCATCAAAGGATCTCATCGACTGACTCGTTCTTGGAGAGTACACGTGCAACCTGATGTTGCAGCTGTGGCGGATTTCCGGGAGCAACTCGTTCACCTCAAAAGGACTGCTCACCACGAGCTCCGGTCCGTGAATACTAGATAGTATCCAGTTCACGGGCCGAAGAAACTCGATGCCTTTCCGTGCATTCGAACCCTTGATTGTGGTGATGAAGTCGTTGGTTGCAAGAAGGTTGCGTGACCACTTGGTGTCTTGCTGATACCGAGGAAGGATTGTGACTGAAGAAAAGAGAGAGATGAAAGCACGAGAAAATGGTGGGATTTGACCATCGCGCACGAATGATACGACATCAGGATGGAGGCGATGGCGGGCAGGCCGTAAAGATGGTGGTGACTCGACCTCCGGCTCACGCCTAGGCTCGTGGGTTACTTCGCGTTCCTGCTCTTCTGCCATTTTCACCAGCCAACTCTCCGTAGAGGATGAGAAATTCTCACTCCTCTGCTTGATCTCACGACAATCGGCTGCAGGATGAGACAATTCCTGTTCCAGTGGCCTGGAGGACGATGGTGCCCCATACATTTCCTCGAGAGACTTCAACTCAGGCCTCAACCAATATTTTTCTAACACTGAGGTGCGGGGGATGAAGGATGTCCAAAACTCTTCCCATTTTGCTAACACTAAGGTGCGAGGGATGGAGGATGTCCAAAATTCTTCCCATGCGCATTGCCTATTGATGTAATGAATGCCTTGCTCTCTCCAGTCACAACTATAACGCCGTAGGCCGGCACATGTCTCCCTGATGGACCAGGAAAGAACGTCGTACACACCGATTCGTTCTCCATGGATCTTTTTCGAGAACTTGCGGATTTTGTGATCCACATCAGGAGGGGCGAGAAAAAGGACAGATTGTCCCTTACCCAACCTGCGCATTCGCATACATCCTGAAGACATGCCTGCTGATTCGATCATATCCTCATAGTAATGGGAAGGCTCACCTTGGGCTAGCCTATCCTTTGTCACTTTCGGACCTAATGTAACTGCGGCACGATAATCGGCGGGAAATTTCAAGTCGGTGCCTCTTGTGTGAGAATCGTCCAGGTACACGAGACAACGATCAAGCTGGTGTCTGTACGACGAAGAGATGAATGGTTCCGTTGCCCCATCACGCCTGATAACGAAGAGTTCGTCATCTTCGGAGAAGAAGATCGCAGCATCTATATCTACTGCCAAGACTTGCGAAAGCCATATCGATGCCAATTCCTTATTGGAGAATTCCAACATCTGGGCACCCACATCCAACAAAACTCGGATTTGGGGTGTTTCCCTGACGACGACGTCCAGAAACTCGCTACTGGCCACGCTTTGGTAGTGATCGTTCTCAGGCTGCAGCATCAAATTCAACACCTTAGCATTTGTACCCAATTGCGCAGGGATGTCATCCTGTTGAATAGAAGTGGGGAGAAGATAGCGGTTGTCATTGGTGCCACTGAAACCCGTCGTTACGTGTTGCCTTCGTTCGGCGATGTCCCAACCGGATGTGGAAAGTTTTTGAGGAAATGTCTTGGCTTCCTTCGGAAAAACCACCTGACAGAGGAAGAAGTTAATCGTCGATGGGTTCCTTTCGAAAGCTGGATAGAGATGCTGAGTCTTTTGTTCGCGGTCATCCGGGTTGAAACTACTGTAATTGCGGAGAAAGTCTGGCACCAAGCAATTGTCCTTAATCCACTTGCGATATTCCGCTACAGGGTCTTCAACTTCGCTGATATGCTTGAAGCACATATCAAGCTGATCGTAAGACAATCCGCCATAGTAGTAGCTGAGGTATGTGAGCGAGATGCAGACGTCCGGGTGACTGAACTCTGCTCTCGGTGCAGGCACATCCTTTGCACGATAGGGCACGGCGAGAAGTGACCGCGTTAGGTTAAGCCCATAGTCTACTCGCCACCTACGTCCACTTAGAACGTACATAAGTATCCCATGCGCAAAAAGGCCTTTCAGCAGGAGCAGAATGCTCCATAGATGGTTGTCACTGCGACAGTGGTTTCGCAATTCAGGAAGTGTTCCAGGGTCCCTTTGGGCGATGAAAGCCTCTGCTTCTCGTCGTGCCCCTCCATGAAATAGCCTGAACGGAGGTAGATCAGGAGACTCCCCTTGCATTATTCCTTGTAAAAGAGATTTCAAAATTTGGACGCCGGCTTCATGTCTGAGAATGCGAAGTCGAGGGAAGTATCCGTCTCGTTGCTCGAGCTCGAGACCCCCTTGAGAAGCCAGCTGATTAAGAAGCCCGCCCCTACTACGCAGGATGGAAAACACATGCTGCACCGTAGTCCATCTGACAGGCTGAGGACCTAGGGGCTGCTGAGTGCCAACTGCGTACACAAGTTGACACTTGACCGCCAGAATCTCGTCACTCTCGTCCAAAATGTCCCTAACGTTTGCGTCCAGCCATCGCTGTAGCTCCAGCATTGCATTTGGAGTCGGAGTTCCCTTGCGCCTAGCCGATGAGAGCTGTCGTTCAATGCCCGTGAGTTTGAACGATAGGACGTGTTCAGGCTGCATAACCAGTATGCCACCAACATTCATGCACTGATGGTAGATCGTTTGAAAAGCATCCGGCTTCACTGCGATAGCACGGGAAAACGGCATGCAATATATTCGCCGATTCGCTAAGCCGCTCAAGCGTTGAACCAGTGACTGGAATGTTTGATTTGCTAAGGGCTTTGGCACGATGATTCTCACTAGTTTTTGTCCATCTGCTAGAGATACGGCAATAAGCGGAACAATGACGGACGATTTTCCCTCCCCCATATTGAGTTGAAGGATGGTATTGCCTTGTGAGCGAGGAAACATCATGTTACACGCAACATCAACTTGAAGAGGGCGCGCAAGAAAGTTGGAGTCAATCTGAGAATCTCGGAGAGTCAATCCCATCGTCCATGCTGACGAACGACACGCTCACCTGGACGAGCAGCCAGTCGTCAGAAATGTCATGCAGATCAGGATAACTCGAACATTCCTTCAGAAATTCGTCGGTTTTGGGTCCTAATCTTACCAATCTCTCCGATCGCTGCCAAAGCAGTATGGACTGGGCGAGGCAAACGAGGACATTCTTCCATTCGGGGGATATGTTTACTGTTGAACGGGATGAGAATGATAGGTGGTGCAGTAAAGAACGAGTGGTGCTTTTCGGCCATAGTCCTGCAACCCGCATAACCTCCTGTACTCGCTCGGACTGAGGGTCTGGATTGAGTACCCGTCGGATTTGCCCTAACACATGAGAGAGATGAGATCGGTACATCTGGTGATCACGATAAAGCTCTTCTTGGAGGGATTCCACCCGCTCCGGGCTGATTTGTATGTCGTGCAATGCATTGCGGCTAGCCTCGAGATCAGCACCGTATTTCTGGGATATCCGGTCGTGGGATGAGCGGAGAGTTGAAATGAGAGGTTTGAGGCTATCATTATGTTCCAAAGACGGTTTGATGGTCAGCCATCCTTTCATTTTCAGAGGGGAAGGTGGACGCGCAAGCATCGGAGGTTGTCGGAGAAAGACGTCACTGTATGATACATTAGACAGATCCACTTCTGCAAGTTGCAAGGAAGTCCGGAAGGAATATATTGGTAGAACCGGAGCATCTGAAGTCAAAGTTCGGTGTTTGTCCAATACCGTCTGGATTGCTCGAATGTGCTGGAGTAAATCCCGGTTTCTAAACCAGGACTCAAACCACCTAGTTACCTCAGTCATGGCGTCAGAGATGTTGATCAGCCACACATCGCCATCCGGCAGACTTGGTAATGTTGGCGCTCCTGTAGGTTCATGATCCCATTGAGCGATTAATTTTTTGACAAGAAAAGAAACTTGAGAAGATGCTCGGCGACTCAATTTGCCTGGACGGATCGGTGCCGTAATGATGTCATAGAGTTGGGGTGCATTTGGTTTGTAGCCCATGTGCAAATCGTATTCAGGCCACAACGGTGGGTCAATGGAACGGAACTCGGGGAAGCATGTGAATGCAAGTAGAGCAGGGACCAAGTTCTCGAGTGAAGGATTAGAGTAGCCCAGTGCCGAAAGACTAAACAACAGTTTGAAACGAGTATGGTTTCCCCAACCCTCCGTTCGACAGGCATTGTACAAAGGAATCCATTTGTGTGGCATGCTCAGGGACAGCCATTCCTTGCTAAATCCCAAACGCACATCCGACAAGTGATTGGGGGAAGAGCCTCTAATGTCCTCCGTCCACGATTCCATGTGAGACAAAAGGGCATTGGGGGTCTTTAGCCGAAGAGGACAATGGTACACCAGGCTAGAGGCATTCGATGCGGCACGAATACGAGTAGTATTGAGTCCTGTGTCAGCGTCCCTAGATTCGTATATCACGTCTTCACCCCGCAGGCCCCGTGGAAGATCAGGGCCGTACCAGACTGCATTGCGACATCTAGCACGGGAAAGCAGGTGTAATTTTCTCCAATCAGTTTCCAATTTTCCAAAACGTATGGAAGGGTCAAAGACACGCATTTCATCAACCCATTTGAAAATAGACCAGGCCTCATCCCAAAAGGCACCGTGTTGGACAAGCGGACTAAGTGCGTTATTCCAAACGGCCCCTCCAATACCATCCTCCCAAAGCCGTTCTAAATGCCGCCTCCGTTCCCGTTCCCGTTCCCGTCCCCGTTCCCATACCCGACGCCGTTTATCGGCCCACTCATCGGGCGGTTCATCGGGCGGTTCCCGAATCCTTGATGGCGTTAACGCCGATAGCCGACGCAGAAGCTGCCGCTCCCAGTCACCAAGACTTTGGAACGATTTGCAACGTGCTGATCCAAGGATTTGGATCGCTTCCTCGACTCCTGGCAACGACGTAAGAGGATCAGGCAAGCAGTAACTAGTAACGGCATGAAGAAGTGACTGGAATAATGTGCTGAACAAGCTCCCATCTCCAACCAGACGACCCAGTAAGACATCAACGTCATAATCACAATATTTGACGTGCAACGATCCCGAATTATTAATCGTTACCGTGACGTGGTCTCCGTCACTTGCGATAGACACATCCCCCGTCGGGATTATGACGCGCCTCGAATAATTAAGCTCCACGCCAGGAGCGAGATCCCCGCTGCGGCGCAAAACCAACTGACTGTGGAGGCCTAGCATTGTGCCTGTTGATTGATTACTACTATCTACTTCGAAACCCGGAAAGTTTAATGAATGCAGCCTTCCGCCTTTCAGGGTGAAGGAGAGCTGGAGCCGGGGAATATCGATGCGCAATTCTTGCATCGACGACCTTGCCATTGTGATAAGAATGTTACTTTCAGGTTCAAGTAGACGAAGGATAGCATGAATCATCTCGGCCGTGCGGCTTTGACAGTCAACTAGCCTGACAGAGGTCCCTTTATCCATGACCCATGTGGAGCATGCAGTACGACGGAGGTGCCAGTTCGATTGGGAGGATGTCCAAGGTGTCTTCTTAGGCCGCAGCTCAATCTGACAAGTAGATAACTCCATCCAATGAAAATATTCCTTCACTAGGATAGATGGCAGATCCCCTTCAAAGATTTCACGTGGTAACAATTCCAAGATCCGACAGCTTTTCCCATCAAGCGCAAGGGATCTGCTTCGTACAATGAGCCTTCCATCTCGCCACCCAAAGTGAATTGTCTATTCAATGGTGAGAATTAGTCAAACCCGTTTCCTTCATCTTTCTCGACGAACCTCATCAGTATCCTTGGTTTCGAGCTGAGACTCGTAGAACATGTGAGCCTTGCTAACATAGTCCATGTCTTCCATATCCGATGAAACAACTTCCGGGCTTCTCTGCAGATGAACCGTTAATCGGCGGGTCTTACTTGGGTAGAGAATAGTCCCGTACTGCACCAAAGAGTTCTTTGTATATCGAATGCCCACGGATGTCAGATGGCAACCAACCAGGTGGTTTTCCATCAATGAGCAAAGCGCCACTTAATACGTTGAAATGAACGTTTTGTGTCCTTTGACCATCTACGGCAGTGGTCAACCAACAGTCGTTAGGTCTTGGTCGCCTTGTCCAGCTACACGTTGGATCGATACCATTCCAAACAGCTGATATTGCCTCGTTAATACCTAATATAGTCCCCCTTCCTGGATGCGAGTAACAAGAAGTTCTTCCATCCTGCAGGACAGGCGCTTGTCTCGGAGAAGCAACTGGTGCAAATGAGGGTCTGCCTTAGTAAGGGTTTCTTGGGGAGAGTGGCTACAAAGGATGATAGCACATTCAATGAATATGGCAACGTCTTCCGGAGTTCGAAGGAGTTCGCCAGCATGGCACGCATCGACATCAAATGAGCTCCTACAAACCGCAGCTATTTGACATATTGCTCGCCGAGATCTCCCCCGTTCAGTTTCGGTTTCAGCGTGTGATTGAAGTGCCAGAAGTTCGTGCAACCAGCGCAAAGTGGTGTCTCGTATCTTCTGGAGTAGTTTGTACGTTCTATTGGTGATTGGCTGTGCCACAGCCGAGACCAGCAGTCGAGAAGCTAGTGTAGTGATAGTCAGTGCTGTAATACCCTGGCGCCAGTTCCCCTCTATATCCGCCCCCAGCTGTTCAAGGACGTCCAACAACATGTTACCGAATGGTACCTCTTGTAAAACCTGGTGACATTCCCAAATACCATCACCGGAAAGGCATCCGACTTGGCACACAGCCTGAGAGATGAGGTCATACACCTCCTCACACTGAAAACTTAAATTTCCGGAGGGAATCTCTCGGGCAATATTGCACCATTGCAACCGGGCTCCAGCGCGCAACGAACCGAAGGCGACGAAACTGCGTAGGCTAAGCGAAGAGGGACATTTATGTTGACTCGCAAGAACTTCGTTCGAAGTGTGGGATGTTCCCAACGCAAAGCGTTCTAAGGAAGCATATGGAGACCTTTTTGGTATCCGCATGAATGTTCTGTCGCTCAGATCGCAGTAACCAGATGGAGGATATATCCATCTGCGATGTTTGTTGTCCCACAGCCGACAGGAAGATGTATACGTGCGAGAGACACCGCCTTCCTTGTCTGGGATTTCCACCTCCGGTGCTAACGATATTCGTTGTTGAGAATTTGGGACGCGACGTTCTTCACCAAAGGGGGACTTCCGTAAGCCTGAGCGGATATACGATTCCCCCGTGGTAAATGTCCTTCCTTCCTTCGACGCACAGATGTCACGGAGAAGCCAATAAGTCGTCTCCCTCCAAGTCTTGAAACCCCTAGGAACTGCCCGTTCAAACACAATGATTTTGGCTCGCACTGGTTCTTGCGGTAGAGGCCATTCGCGAATAACTGTCCTCAGGGCTCTTGCAGACCATTTGAAATAACATTCTTCGCAAGACTCCGGGTCGTGCCTGGACCTCATACGATCCACAGTGTGAGAGCCTAAAGATCCAGTTTAGTGTCTAATCATGAGAACGTTTGTCTTCTTCGAGGTCGTACCTGCTCGTTTCATTATTTCCCAATATTCAGTACCTGCTCGTTCTTTTATTTTCTTATTTTCAAGTTTCAGCAAATGAAGCTCGCGAAGTTTTTGACTCGTCATCGCTTGCTGCTCTATGGTGCGCTTAAGATCCTGGAGCGACGGGGACGAATCGAAAAATCTGACTGCGAAGGTTTCCGCATCAACAACTTCTGAGAAGACCGACCGAGGGTCACTGCCAGCTTCGTGATACCGCTTGCGCAGGTACGCCTGGATCCTCGAGATGCGTTCCAACGGCTCGGCTTTCGAAAGCAGGAGGCCCTCATATAGAGTCAGTGGAACCTCAGGCGAATAATCCTTCAAGAGGGGACAGATAGTCGCTGCCAAAATGTCGAGTGCCATCCACAACTCAAAAAGCGTGAGGAGCATAATGGACTGTTCCGCTGGTGCCCCTTTGTACAAATCCCCGGCCTCGTCGGCGTATGTCGTCATGTAATGAGAAATTAAGTCGCAAGCACTTTCGCAGTTGTGGTCGGAGATTTGCCGAGATACCCATTCGTCAATGTGATTTTTTACGCAACGCTCAAAATCCCAAAGCGCAACAAATCCATTGGCTTTTACTGCTGCCGAAAAAACCCCGGGTTCGTCGTCAAAGAGATTATTGAATAATCGTGGATGATGTGATTGGAATGCAGCATTAGGATCGGCGGGAATCCCCGGGACGAGAGCAGCACTGATGTAAGACCTGCAATTTTTCAAGTTGAGGCTAGTGTCCCCAATAACATCTAGCTCGTTTGGTGCCCACTTGGCTGCCCGCACGTGTGCATCCTGAATGCTCTTCCATCGATCTTGGAGCAGTTCTTCAGTATCAAGCGCAACCTCGTGGGCAAGTGTGACCAGAGACGGAGCTGCCCATGATCGGATTTTAAAGAGTCGGCGGCTGAGTTTGGCACGCATGCAATAGAGGATATGTCCCGGTAAGCGGTTCTCAACACCGCTCCGCAGAATCTCGGCCAGAAAGAGTATCATAAAAGACTTGTATTCGTTCATGTTCGAAGTGCCTCGGTGAATCGTAGTTTGCAAGGCAACACGGACAACGAGCCAGAGGGAGCTGCGCCTCCATGGGACAATATCATCCGCATGCTGCAAAACATCGTCCGATGTCCTCTTCTGGATGCGAGGAATGTCGGCAGGCTCTCCTAGTCCACGGAGTATCCCGGTCAGCAATTCAGTGATGTACTTCGGATGGGTTGTGCGCCTATCCGTGGAACCCCATCGCCATCGGGGCGCGAATGCGAATGTGCCGTTCTCACGTTCCCATGGATCGCTGTCCATTGTGTCTTCATCCAGCGGTGGATCGCCGTCCATAGTGCCCTCTTCCCGCAGCTGATCGCCATTCATTGTGTCCTCATCTTGCAAATAATCGTGATCTACTATGTCCTCGTCCAGCAGTTGATCACCGCCCACCATGCCCTCATCCTCACGTTGGCCACCGTACATCTGGGTTAGGAATGCGGCCAATTCTTCTAGAAAATCCGGATCCTGCATAACATTGTTTCGAAGGGCAATTGCAGGTCCAGGAAAGGAGCGGATAAGCTTCCCTGTGCAGCGCATCACGGCTGTATTCATCGGTGATGCTTCGAAAATTTCGAAAATTGTTTCCTCCTCACCACAACGGATGATCACACCCGCGTTTTGAGCATGGACAAAAATGGCGATTGTATCTGCATCCAGAGATATTACTCCCACTGTTCGGCTCCAGCTTGTATCTAGTGACATTACCTCCAGTGTTCCTTCTTTTGATGCATTCGCTGATTCCAACCTCGGGGTCAATGTTGATTCGTCGCAATGTACCCACCATTTTCAATAATGAATCCCACAATGCTTGGTGCTCAGGCGCAGCATGCTGCTGTCTGTAAAGCTTCATGCTCTTGCGAATAGTTGACAAAAGAAAATCTATGCGCTCCGGACTCTCATCCGCCTCTTGGGGCAACTTGGGAGGCATGAACACATGGTTGATGACGAAGTCTAGAAGATCATCCCCCATTGCGGGCCCTGAAGCGCAATAATGGAGAAACCTTTGTATTGAGACGTCGCAATGAAGGGGGAAGGGATATCGAATGTCGTGAGTCGAAAATCAGTCGATCGGAATGCACCTCTCTAGTTTTCATCCTACATCAATATTGTCCTCGTGCCCGAGAGAATGCTCTTTGACACACCGGTGAAAACTTTGAATCACGGTTTCCTGCTAACCGTGCCAATGTCAGCCTAAGCCTGAGTATGGTGTAGATCAGCTCGGTGAAGAGAGCTCGAGGCGTGTGTGTAGCTTGGCCAGTATCGGGTCACGAGTGTAGTGCCTGATGGTTCTGTGGGATTCCATAGCATTCATTTGGCCTTGAGGACAGCAGAACCGGATAGTTGAATGCGGGAGTTCCATTTTTGGAGACTAGCTTATGATGTGTTTATGTGTACACTTGAACGAACGCTGGAAGCATGTGTGGCAGTGCGAACAGGCAACAAAGCGGCATCCTGCGTTTCGTCCCAGTCACCAATCCCACCCATATCAGTGGACGATACCAAGACTCCTAACCCTCTCAACGACCCATCAAATTCTACCCAACGGCGGCCTTAATCAAAGAGCATCGAAGACAGTTCCTGTCCTTTGCTTCTATCTCTACTGCGGCGTTCAGATAGGAAAGGGGTTCTTCATGTTACGACGCCGCTACTAGCTCCGACGTCCAGTTGCATCTTCGATCTCCATGTGCACCCCCATTAACTTAATTAGGCCCCCAGGATTTCCACAGCTGACCCTGGTCGAAGATTTCCTTGTCTATGTGAGAATGAACTTCCTGATCGAGCTGGGCTTTACTCACATGGGCTTAACAGCTTGATGGGGAGATTGAGTTTCCAATCCAGCCTGGCCCATCTGGTGTCGATCCTTCATCCGCAGAGGTGCCGTCCCTTCCCAGCCGACCGAGTAACCGATTTTCCATGGCTTCATCTCTTGCTGTGTTCGCTGCTATCCCAACCCTTCGTGCGTCATCGGCTACACACGTGGCAAGCGGCACAGGAGCGGGTGCCCACTCCGAAGACTTGAACCCTCAGCCGTACAGGACTTGCTCTGTGCGAACATTCTGCGAAAGCGTGGTTAAGAGCCCTCGCGCCGCCGATGCCAATATTATGTCGATTGAACGTTATGGGGACCTTCATGGCGTGTCACATCGATTTCTTATCCTTCACGTTACCCGGGCCTGTGGAGAAGACTTTTACATTCGCTTGGATCGAGATCCAGGGAAGTCGAATGTGGTAGATACTGTGTGTTGTGGGATATATGGTCATTGCACGAGAGCTAAGACGCAGCACTTGTAGGTTGCTATCTCTGGTCGACTCGAGCACCTTCTGGATGCCACGAACAATGAGGCCGGAATTGAAGCCATTATGGTCCTTCCGACCCCAGCTCCTCTCGTTACGATCGCACGGATATTGCATACCGTTGTGGCAGAATCTCTTGGGTACAAGTCGACCAGAGTAAGTGTCAACGTTTGGCCCTTCCCACGTTATGGTCACTTAATCCGGGGCAACATGTAGGATAATTGTTGGTTCTTTTCATCCACCATCCAGGAAATGGTAATATTGATGTATGGAGCCAAGTATGAGAGTGCATCTCTCAATCATCCCAAAATTGGGGCCGAGCAGCGTGGCCGTATCAGACTTTTGATGTATTCCTCCATTGCTAATGAGATCGAACTTGCATCGGACAAAATTTTGAGAAGCGCTGGGTTAATTGCAGATTCAACGCTGACGAAGGCTGTCAAGTCAGCCCTGAATACTATCAAAAAACATCATGTAAGGAAAATGGTTCGCGCCAAGTATTGTCCACAACAATTGATCTACTTTTGAGCTAGAAGTTTGCTTTTCACAGTTTCCTTGCGCTCGATGCATTTCAAGTCTCTTCATCTACGCGGAGACTCCTTATTATGCTCCATGACGACCTGTTTGAGCATCTTCGTAGATGCTACGGGGCTCGGGAAGCACGGACATTCTCAAAGAGTTTCCCCGAGTCAGTGAATTCTCGATAAACGGCAGTCTTGCGCCATCCCTCTGACACACTTATCCCAGTGAATTGATTCGGACAGTTTTATCATGGGAACAGAGTCTCCAGAGTTCCTCACGGAACGTGGATGACATAATTACTTTGATATCCCGCATCACCGACCTCTTAAGATCATCGGTACGTGCTGTCTCGCGCCGCTGCAACTGCCGATCGCCTGATCTATCGCCAGCAGAAAGTAGCTGAGATTACGGTACGTCGAAATTCCCTGGCCGCTCGTGGCCCCATAAGCATTGTCTCATGCCATTTCCAGCTCTTCCCAGGACCCAAGGTCGTGCTGTTTGCGCTGGAGTTTCTGGGTCTGTGCACGGTGTTGGATAGTCTACCAATAGCGTGGCGCTTCCAAATGAATGACACTATTCCTAATCTTCAGAGTGAATTCGACATGCTAATAACGTTGGAGTTGAAGTTGGTCTGCCGCCAGTGGACCACTCTCCTTTGCGTGTCGAATCATCGAGACAATGAGATAATGATAGCACTATCTCGCGCTGTGCCATCATTTCTTTACTGGATTGCAGCAATGGGGATCATGGGTGAAATAGATCAAGCTTGCCGAGGACTGAAAGAACTGGCGCAATGGCTGGTGTGTTAAAAGTTTAAATGATAACCTATCGCTCACATCATGTCTCCAAGGAATCTGACGAGCAAAGTACCGACACATGTCGTGTGGTTTATGACTTATACGGTCTGGTCATGCAATCCAAGAGTGCATTAGCGCTCTCATCCTTATCCATACTCGGGAGTAGCCACCCGTTTATTCCGTTAGGTTCCTCATTGAATGCTACATTTCCGACGAAAGGGAATGCTAAATGCCGGATTGTTGCTCGTGACATGGACAGCAGTCATTCATGGCCATCGCAGGTAATGAAGATTCCCATAAGTGGAATCTTATCGGCGACATTTTCGCCAGATGGCCGTTATCTGGCCTCCGGCTCATCGAATGGAAGCGTGTGTGTTTGGGATGCAACGACAGGGGCGCTTTTCCGCGAACTGAAGGGTCGTGGCACCGGTTGGGTAGGGTCCGTTGCATTTTCGCCAGAAGGTCATCTTGCCTCGGCCTCGAATGACTGCGTCGTGCGGATCTGGGATCCGGTGACGGGAGGACTGCTTCGAGAATTGAAAGGGCATGCTAGTTGGGTTAGGTCCGTAGCCTTTTCACAGGATGGTTGTCGTCTGGCCTCAGCCTCGAACGATCGTACAGTATGTGTGTGGGATGTTGCGGCAGGAACACTCCTTCGACAGCGGAAGGGACACTCTGGTTGGGTTAGGTCCGTCGCCTTTTCACCGAATGGCGATCGTCTAGCCTCCGCCTCGGAAGATCACACCGTGTGTGTTTGGAACGAGAATGATTGGGAGGGACTGTATAGTTGGGAGGCGCTGTCTGGTTGGGAGGCGTTGTATGGTTGGGAGGCGTCGCATGGTTGGGACGGGGGGGATGGAGATGGAGTGCTTCTTCGAGAACTCAAAGGCCATACTGCTCAGGTATGGTCCGTTTCATTTTCGCCAGATGGCCGTCATCTGGTGTCGGACGATCGGAATATGCGTGTCTGGGACGTGGAGACCGGAGCCCTTGTCCGAAAACTGGAAGAACACGCTCATTCCGTCTCATTCGTTAAATTCTCACCCGATGGCCGTCATCTGGTCTCAGCCTCCCTAGACGGTACCCTACGTATCGGGGACACGGCGTTTGGAGCGCCTACGCGTGAACTGAGAGGCCACACTGCTTCGGCCTTGTCGGCGGAGTTCTCGCCAGATGGCAGTCTTGTGGTGTCATCCTCAGATGATGGTACCATGCGTGTGTGGCAAGTGACAGGAGTATCTGATCGAGAACGGAAGGGGCACACCGGCTCAGTATTGTCCGTCGAATATTCGCCCGATGGTCGACATCTAGTTTCAGCCACTCAGGATGATATCGTGTGTATCTGGGATGCTGCGGACGGGCGCTGTATTGGACAAAGACAGCTAGGTTGGGGCTTTGACCCTCGTCAGATTTCATTCTCCGCCGACGGCTTGACGATCCATGTCCAAGGTCCAACGGAGACGGAAGATCTGAGCTTCCCGAATTTAGAGAATATATCCCCCCCAGCTTCACCGCTATTCTTCCAATCTAATCCATCCCCTGTCTGCCTTGACCACAATGCTCTTTGTATCAAGCAAGGAGACACTAGTCTTTACGTCTGTTGGCTCCCCGACTACTTTGAACCCAGTACCCCTATCGCAGCACATGGGAATAATGTTTGCATTGGCGGAAAGGAGGGGATGATTGCATTTCTCAATTTGGATGGACTTTTGCCTCTCAGTGTGCAGTAGTATTTTTGGACTGACAGCAAATCTGCGCCTTCGCCGAATTTACCGCACCCTGGGGTGATGTAATATGGTGGAATGACTACGGGGTTAACTGTACTTCCACAGAATCGTCCGTCGCTAGGTCGTTCTATTACTCCCGCCCTCCGTATCCAGATGGAATAATTTACGGGTCGACGGTCGCATTGTTATCTCGCCTACCTACTCGATCATCACATTCTGCGCGTCATTGCTCAACAAACTTTTACAACATCATTCTAGGGAAAACAAAAAAATTCCGGCCTTCGGGAGCTTGAGAGGGGGATTTCTGGAACAATCTGACAATGGTTCACTCTGGAAATCTAGTAACGAGAATATCGACGAAATCGATCACCTGGAAAAATGGGTGGGTAAAAATCTCTTCTCCCCTCTCCGTGGCCACCCCGGAAGTTTCTCCTAGTTAGCACCCAAGGCATCCCTTCGTATTAGCTGGACATGTTGGTTCTACGACTCATAAGAGGGTGAGATTAAATAGGGAAATTGATCCAATTGTCGCTGAGGGTCCTATCGAGAACCCATACTTGATATATTTTCGCACACTTGCATCCAACTCTAACATTAGCGGGTGAGATCTCGACAATGCAATAGCAAATCCAGTGATAATGATGTCGTGTGTGTGCACAAATACCTCACATTGGGAAGTGTAATGGGGTCCAAATGGATGAATGCAGTCGCACCCCCTCTCGCTCAACGATTCCCATGTTGTGCGATACGAGAAATGGGCATAAAGCCGACAGACGCGAAGGGCGAGATTGGAGTTATCTCTTCTAAGCCCGGAATACCCAAATATTTCGTCGCTGTCGGACCGTTGACACGAATCATTATTCAAAGTAATCTATGGAAAATGGCAGTCGACAAGGATCGATATCCAGATCGAGCTGTCTCTGTTCAATGCAGCTCCCACCGACAGCATTTTAGAGGCACACGATGCAATCGGGTGGCTGAGACCAGATGGTTGCCATCGGGAGAAAATTCGATGGACCAAATCAATATGACCCTTCAGGAACCCCTGTCGCCATATCCTACCAAACACCTATGATACCATCATCCAAGGCTAGGTGTCGGCCATCAGGTAGTGATGCTGAGATCGCTATGCCCCTTGAGGAAGGAATCTTCGAGTACTGAAGGGACATACCGATTTCCACCAAGTAGCTGTTATGTATTCTCGGATGATAATGTGCGACTGGCGGGCTGCCAAGGACGAGCCAGGCACATTATCAAATTCTTCGGTACCTGATTAGGTGTGGGACATAGGTCTATTCTCAAGACGTCCGATGGGCCTGCGAAGTGGAACCCTCACGCAGTAATAAGGGGACTCGGAAGGGATGGAGGCTGTCTCCCTTCGCTTTGGTCCCGGATTACGCACATTACGCGTCGGCATCAGCCGACAAACCAAGTGGCTGGAATGGGAATCCTGGGATCCTGGCAAGGAAATGCTGCTTGTGCAGCCAGACCCTTCAGGTTTCAGGATATGGGATACTCTCGAACGACGTTTGCACAACCTGTCCCTCATTCTTGTCTACTACCTTGTCGTCTGTTTTCTTGCTATGCCCTCCACGTCTAATGGAACCGAAAATACCGCCTAATTTCAGCGACCCTCAAGTTGCTAAGGGTAACCCACCCTTGCGGTCAGGAATACGGGAACAACTACAGGCATTGATCAGCAACAAGAAACGACAACTTACCCTCGTGGGGACTCTCGGGAAACGGCTCCTTAGCCAAGAGATTGAGCTCGAGGAACGTATACAGCGAATGGTCGAGGCAGAAATTGGGGTGCCGCAGTCCAGCGATTCTAGAGACATTACGCCCACTAGAGATGAGCTGGAAAGCTTGGGCAGGACATTGAAAACATGGGAGGTAGAGAACCAAGAGACCTGGGTTAACGCCCTTGCCCTTGATACATTAGTAGGTGTAAGCATTGGAGACTTGTAGATCATTCACATTATTTCTATGGGTGGTTTATGGCGAAAAGCCGGATGTTGACCCACCCATTGCACCATCATTCCCTTCCGGCTCCTCATCAGGTGGGGATATGTCTTCTCACCCTGAAGTAACCCGAGCGCCCACCCAATCGCCATGGCGTACCAAAAATGCGAGCCTGCGGAAGGCAAAAGACGTCAGTGAGATAGATTGGTATTCAAACGATGTGAGTACGCTACTCCATTCTTATTCACAGCGGGATTATTAAAATAGAATCACAACCGAGACCGGAGATCCATCGACGGGCGAAAACCACCGCATACGTGCGCTGGTGGGCGAACGTGACAGGTCTTTACAGGAGCTGAGGGAGCAAAGAGATGATCTGGAGCGTAGCGTGGAGAGCCTCCGGGCATCGTTCAGAAAACATCAAGCAAATGCTGGTTAGTTGAAGGTTGATGTAGTTGCAGATCTGGCTTAACCTGCAGACCCACAGAGAAAAATAGTGAGGAGATTTGGAATCTGGAGTGCGCACTTCAAGAACTACGGGAGAAACTGAACAAAGCGAACTCATCCACACAGAGAGCGGAAGCGGAGAATAAGCGCACGCTGAAACAGCTTGTCTCTGCCCAAGAAACCATAAATTCACAGAGGGACGAGACAGAACAGCTGCAAAGCTTTTTGGACAATATGAAATCCAAGCATGAGGTTGATATTGCTCAGATGAGAAAAGCTGTCGCTAGTCATCAAAGGGAGAAGAGTGACTTGGAAACGGCTCTGGATGTCTTGAAATCTGAGCTGGCCAAGAAGTCCGTCTCTTTGCCAAATCGCTTTGGGTCTACGAACGGGGAAGCTGGGCTGCAAGAGCCCTTAGACGTCAAATCCAAGCGAGAGATTGATATCACCCAGCCCATCCCCGCGCTGTTGAACGAGTACGACAAGGCTTCACAGGGAACAAAGGAGGAAAAAGGTGATTTGGGTCTCGGCTTTGAGAGCGTCCACAATGCTGGTCAGTCAAGGCTTGTTATAGTTGCAGGTCCGGCCTCACTTACAACTCCTAGAAAATTTGAGGTTGGAGCAGGGACTTCAAGAAATACGAGAAAAACCGAATAACGCGAACGCACCAACCCACAGAGCACAAGCTGAGAACAAGCACGCACTGAAGCAGCTTAGCACTTTCCGGGAGAGTATCGATGCGCAAAAGGGGGGTATAGAACGGCTACAAGGCTCCTTGGACGATATCAAAACGAAACATGAAAGTGATGTCGCTCAGATGAGGGAAATTGTCGCCAGCCTTGAGAGGGAGAAGAATGATTTGCAAACCGCCCTGGATAATTTGAAATCTGATTCAGCACAGAAGTCCAGACCTAGGCGAACTTGCTTTGGGTCTCCGGTGACGCGCAGAGATGCCGCGGGGACGAGGGGTAACGAAGAAATTTTCACACGCGGTGACTCCCCACGTTGGAGGTACGCTGCGAGCAATTTGCGCTCTCCAGCTGATGACGTAGCTCACAAAATTTTAGGTGGGCATGGTGTTGTCTCGGGTGTTGAGGACGACGGTGGTTTCAATGGAGTGGGGGAGGACTGTAGACGCTATTGGGTGGAGAATCCACGAGTGTGTTGTGAAACTGCAAGCCAGGCGTTCTGGTGCCTCTTCGCGTCTAGGATTGGACACAATAGTGCCAACAGCACAGACTACGTCAGACTGCAGCCGTAATTATCAACAAACATATATCACTTCTTGCTTCCAAGTCTTGGTGCAGCCCCCTATACTTTGTAGATTTATACACAATGCAACTATCGCCGATTCCTATATGAATGCTAATGGGTTTTGTTTTCAGATGCTTCGAACCCAATCATGAATGGTGAAGGTTTATCAGCGTCGTGTCGCCCAAGAGTGATTTCCGTGCGGTGTGTGACATCCTATCATTTTGGAACGCTAGGATCGAAGACTTGCTCTGTTCGTTTTTTTCTGACTGGTCGGGGTTCCCCGGGATAAATTGCGGAATAAAAGTAGAAGACAACAAATTGATCTGAGAATAATAAAACCCATCCGAGTAAAGCAACCATATTCGGTGTCGAAGGCTCGACGCAATTGTGTTTGTAGAGGGTTGACAAAGGGCAGGTTCCGACGCACGATGTGGTGGTCGAAACGGGATGGATCCACTGGTTCCCACGAGTGGAAGCGAAAACGGCGTGAAGCCTTTGGATCGGAATTGAACAAAACCACCACGCCCTCCAGTCACCGGTGGCCCTATGCATTCCCGCATTCTTCCTTTGTCCCTGTTACCATGGGACCAACAATTGGGTGTCAGATTTTTTGTTATCGTGTCTCCATTCTCACTAATTCAAACACGAGTTGGAACAGGCGCTTCCACGAAACAAAGAATGCATCGCTCCATCAACAATATCTCATATCACTTGTACAGACGACACCACCCATGGTTAAGGAGATCAGATATTACTTTGCCTCAAACTGGAAGTCGCTTTTGAAGAACTTCCATAGTGTTTCCTTGACATATATCCAGGTCTATTTCTGATGGAGATGGTTCCGACTACGGGATTATTGGTATAGACTGAACAATAGCACAAGCTTGGTCCTATGTGGCCTCCTATTTGTCGCGCACATCAATATGCACTCTTGTTGCTTGAGTTCCAATGTGGTGAGTAGATCTTGAAATTCGTCCCATTTACAAGATGCGAAACAAAGACAGCCGAGCAAGAGTTTGCGTGCATCCAACTGCTCCATGGAGTTACTCTCAGCAGGCGACACAGTTACCTAGACACCGATATCGATAGGTCATCGCACATGAGACGCGAGCGCGGGGTATGACATATGGGAAAGAGGGGCATGGGACGAGCGTCCATGCCGCCATGTAGATATGTATGACACGTCATCACGGAGGTGTAAAACGGGGGGAAAGCGCCTGATGGAAATGGAAAGCCGTGAGACCCACAATGCACGAAGTAAACGATAATGCTCCACCCTGACGAAATTCTCCCCACCTCCGGCCCAACACAGGAAATATGCTACTGTCAGCGGAGACAAGTGAATTGATACTCACAAAGGAAACGAGCGAACGTGGCAACTTCAAGCACTATCAGCATATGCATTAATCAGTATCCCTCGCGTCTGGCGTCTGATATGCATTCTTTTCGATCTACTTTCAGCCCCCGTGTCTAACCCCCATTCGGTTGGTCTTATTTAAAGAAAATATCTTCTATCATACCGGAATCGACAATCATAAATCTATCAATACATCCAGACAAGTCGATGGGCAAGATAGGCAGCTGGGAGCACTGTGCACATTTGTCGTCAAAAATCCTCTGGTCGCACGAATGCTCCATGAACAATTCGTCCAAGATGAGTGGAAGTATAGGGTATCCCTAGGGTGTTTCATGTTATTGTGAAGAACAATTCTTTGAAATTGGGCAGGAAACTCACCCTTCCTCCTGAGACTCGTGAGCCTGTGGATAAAGGGCAGAGGGCTGTTATCAAATGGACAGACCAAGCGCATCTCTGTACGATTTTTGGGAAGGATAAAACCGTCGCTCTGTGTTTCGACCTCATTGCTCCCATCATGGCTAGTGTTAACTCCCAAAAAATTGCAAAGTTCAAGATATGTTTCAAGGTCCTTGAGGTATAACTGGCCGGAGAATACACCCAGCTGTGAGATAGTGAGCCTCTCGGGATGCGTCTGCATCGTTGGTAAATATGGGATCGTGTAAAATTCGAGATCATCAAAGGACTTCATCGGCTGACTCGTTCTTGGAGAGTAAACGCGTAACGTAGTGTTGTGGCTACGGCGAATTTCGGGGATCAATTTATTTACTTCGAAAGGGCTGCAAACCACGAGCGTCGAGTTGCGGGTACTGGATAGTATCCAATTGACGGGTCGAAGGAATTCGATGTTTTCCTGGACGTTCGTGCCTTGAATGGTGGAAGTGAAGTCTCTAGTTGCAAAAAGATCGTTAGACCATTTAGCGCCCTGTTGGAAGGACCGAGGAAGGATTGAGACCGAGGAGAAGAGTGGAATGAAAGCAGGGGATGTATCTGGCGATATTTGGCCACTCCGCACGAACGAAACGACATCAGGATGGAGGATATGAGAGGCAGGGAGCAAAGCTGATGGTCTCTCAATTTGCCGCTCCCGTTCAAGTTCGTGTGTTACCTCACGTTCTTGCTCTTCTTCCATCCTCACCACCTCATTGTCCGTAGGAGACAAGAAAACGCGGCTCCTCTGCTCAATCTCTCGACAGTCGGCTCCGGGGTGGTGGGGTGGCTCCCGCTCCAATTGCTCGGAAGAGGGTGATGCCTCATACATTTCCTCCAAGGACTTCGACTCGGGTTGCAACCAATATCTTTCTAGTTTGGAGGCTTCGCTGGCTCCAGATGACCAAAACTCCTCCCACGCGCATCGCCTATCGATGTAATGAATGCCCTGCTCTCTCCAATGGCAGCTATGACGCTGTAGACTTGCACATGTCTCACTAATGGACCAAGAAAGAACATCGTATGCAGTGATTCGTTCTCCATCTTCCTTTGCAGACACCTTGCGGATGGCGCGATCCACATCGGGGGGCGCGAGGAATATGACAGATTGCCCCTGTCCCAGCCTGCGCATTCGCATACATCCTGAATACATGCGCCTCTGCCTCGGCTGGTGCAATTCAATCTCAATGAGAAGCTCACCTTGAACCAGTCTATCCTTTGTTACTTTCCGGCCTAATGTAACTGCTGCGCGATAATCAATGGGCAATTTCAAGTCGGTCCCTCTTGTATGGGAATCATCGAGGTACACAAGGCATCGATCAAGTCGACGTCTGTATGAGGATGAAGTGAACGGCTCTGTTTCCCCGTCGCGCTTAATAACATGGATCTCATCGTCTTCGGAGAAGAAGATCGCAGCATCTACATCCCCCTCAGGTATTTGCGAGAGCCATATCGATGCTAAGCCCTTGTTGGAGTACTCCAACATTTGAGCGCCCACATCCAACAGAACTCGGATTTGGGGGGTCTCCTTGATAACGAGGTCCAGAAACTTGCCACTGGCTGCAGTTCGGTAATGATTATTCTCGGGCTGGAGCATCAAATTTAACACCTTGGCATTTGTGCTTAATTGCGGAGGAATATCGGCTTGTCTGATAGAAGTGGGAAGAAGATAGCGGTTGTCATTCGTACCACTGAACCCCGTTGTTACATGCTGTCTTCGTTCAGCGATATCCCAGCCAGATGTGGAAAGTTTTTGCGGGAATGCCTTGGCTTCCCTTGGAAAAACGACCCGAGAGAGGAAGAAGTTGATTGTCTCTTGGTTCCTCGCGAAAGCTGGATATAGATGGTCGATCCTTTGTCTGTGGTCATCGGGATTAAAACTGCTATAGTCGCTGAGGGACTTCGGCACAAAGCAATTCTCTTTTATCCACTTGCTATATTCCACCACAGGATCCTCCAGCTGACTGAGCAATTCGAAGCATGTGTCTAGTTGATCACAGGATAGTCCACCATAATAATAGCTAAGACATGTCAAGGAGATGCAGACGTCTGGGTGACTGAACTCTGCCCTCAAAGCGGGCACGTCTTTTGCGCGATACGGAACCGCGAGAAGGGACCGTGTGAGGTCGAGCCCATAGTCTACTCTCCACCTACGTTCACCAAGGACGTATATAAGTATTCCTTGGGCGAAAAGGCCTCTTAGCAGGAGTAGAGTGTTCCATAGGCGGCTGTCACCGCGGCAGTGATTTTGCAATTCATCAAGTTCTCCAGGATCCCGTTCTGTGATGAAAGCCACTGCTTCTTGTCGCACTCTCCCATGGAATAGCCTTAACGAAGGCAAGTCTGGAGAGTTCCCCGACATTATCCCATGTACAAGAGAACTCATGAGCTGCACGCCAGCCTCGCTTTTGAGGATGCGAAGACGAGGGAAGCATCCGCCTCTTTGTTGTTCAAGCTCGAAGCCTCCTTGAGGAAGGAATTCCTCGATGAACTGGGTGTGGCTGCGCAAGATGGAAAACACATGTTGCACAACAGTCCATCGGTCAGGATGATGGTCTAGAGGCTGCTGAGCTCCGACAGTGTAGACGAGTTGGTATTTGACCGCTAGAATCTCATCGCTCTCGTCCAAAATGTCCCTAACGTTCGAATCTAGCCATTGTTGCAGTTTCAGCATCGCATTTGGCGTCTTCTCGTCCATGACAGCCGAGAGTTGTCGATATATACCCATGAGTTTGAATGACAGGACGTGTTCAGGCTGCATGACCAGTATTCCGCCCGCCTGCATGCACTCGTGGTAGATCCTTTGAAATAAGGACAAGTGGTTCTCATCCACCGAAATCGTGCGGGAGAAGGGCATGTAATATACACGTCGATTGGCCAGGCCACTCAAACGTCGGACAAGTAACTGAAACATTTGGTTTGCTAAGGGTTTTAGCACAATGATTCTGACCAGTTTTTGTCCGTCCGCCAAAGATGCGGCAATCAGTGGAACAATAACGGATGATTTTCCCTCCCCCATATTGAGTTGAAGGATAGTGTTGTCCTGTGGGCAGGGAGACATCATGTTACGCGCAACATCAACTTGAAGTGAGCGGATAAGGAAGTTCGAGTCAATCTGAGAGGCTCACAAAGTCAATGCCGTCATCTACAGTGAAGGGAAAAAATGCTACACTCACCTGAACAAGCAGCCAGTCCAGTCTGTCCGAAGTGTCATGTAAGTCAGTATAATTCTGACATTCCCTTAGGAAATCATCGGTGTTGTGTCTTGATCTCATCAATCTCTCCGACTGCTGCAAAAGCAGTATGGACTGGGCAAGGCAGACAAGAGTATTTTCCCAATCAGGGGAAAGGCTAACTTTTGAGCGCGATGAGAATGATAAGTGGTGCAGCAAAGAACGTATACTGGTCTTCGGCCACAGTCCTGCTACATGCATGACTTCCTCTGGGGCCTCTAACTGAGGATCTGGATTGATTACCCGTTCGATTTGCTCTAAGATATGGGAGAGATATGTGCGGTACGTCTGGTGACTGTGATCAAGGACTTCTCGAAGGATTTCCACCCACTCGGCACTGGTTTCAGCGTCATGTTGCAATGCTTCCCTACTCACCTCGAGATCGTTCCCATACTCTCGAGACAGGGGACTTTCAGCTGAGCGGAGATTCGAGATGAGAATCCTGAGACTATCATGTACCGAAGATGGTTTGGCAACCGACAATTTCATTGCTCTAGGAGGGGAGGGTGTGGGCGCCAGAATTGGAGACTCCCGAAGAAAAACATCGCGGTATGATACAAAGGATGTGCGCACTTCTCCCAGCGGTGGGGAGGCCCAAAAAGAGTAAGTAGGCAGCACCAGAGTGTCCGAAGTCCAGTGCCTGTCCAAGACCGTCTGAACTGCCTGGATGTGATCATGCAGTTCCGAATTCCTGAACCATAGTTCGAACAATTCGGTCACTCTGACCATGGCAAGTGACGGACTAATTAGCCATTCGCCGTCACCCCGCACACATGGTATTGTTGGCGTATCTGTGGGTCCACCGATCTCCCACTGATTAACCAGATCTGCAACGAAGGACCAAACTTGAGATGATACTTGGGCATCGTATTTCTTTCGTCGTTCGATTCGAACAACATCGCGAACTAAAGGATTGGTGGTTTCCTGAAAGGGAAGGACACACTTCGCGACCGCAGCATGGAGAAGTCCTAGATCTGGTGTCCAACCCTCACTGAATTTGTATCGTTGCCACGGCGGCGGATCTATGACACGGAATTCAGGGTAGCGCGCAAACGCAAGAAAGGCAGGGATTAGATCTTTGCATGGGTGACGAGAGTATTCCATCGCCGAGAGGCTAAAAATCAATTTAAACCGGATTATTTCCCACCCAGCTGATCGACAAGCATTGTATAAGGGAGCCCAAGTGTCTGGCATGTTGAAGGAGAGCCATTCCTTGTTGTATCCTAGACGGACACCCGACACGTCATTGGTGGTAATCTCCTCCCTCCACGATTGAATCTGAGATAACAAATTTTTTGTTGTCTTGAGGTGAAAAGGACCACGATATACCAAGCTAGAGACATTCGAGGCATCACGAACACGAGCAAAGTCGAGCCCACGGACGTCATCCCGAGATTCATACACTGAATCTTCACCTGATACGTCCGACGATATGCCAGGACCATGCCAGGCCGCATTGCGGTACCCGGCACGGGATAGCAGATGAAGCTCTCTCATATGGCGTCTGTCTTTCGAGTTCCCAATCGGCACATCCTGATGGAAAACCTGCATTTGATTCCCCCATTCAAGTATAGATTGTACCTCGCTCCAGAAAGCATCATGCTGGACAATCGGATTAAGTTTTCCATCCCAAATGGTCTGTTGCATCACCCGCAAGTGGGAAGGATACCAATCCCTTGATGGCGTTAATGTCGACAACTGATGTAGAAGACCACGCTCTTGGCCATTGAGGCTTTGGAACGATTTACAACGCGCTGAGCGAAGGATTCGAAGGGCCTCCTCAGTTCCAGACAATGACGTGAGGGGATCAGGTAGACAATAACTGGTAATAGCATGAAGGTACGACTGAAACAATGCGCTGGATAAACTTCCATTTCCAACCAAACGGCCAAGTAGGGTATCTACGTCATAGTCATAATACTCGACTCGACGTGACCCCGAGTGTTTAATGGTAACAGCAACATGGTCATCATCTCGTGTGATGGATATATCTCCCATCGGGATGATGACACGCCTGGAGTAACTAAGCTCCACACTGTTCGCGAGATCCTCACTCTGGCGCAGAACAAGTTGGCTCTGAAGACCTAGCATTGTGCCTGTAGATTGGTTCTCATCAACTTCGAAGCCGGGGAAGTTGAGCGAACAGAGCCTTCCACCTTTCAGGGCGAAAGAAAGCTGGAACCGGGGAAGATCGACCAGAAGTTCGTGTGTTGGCGAGCTTGTGATGAGAACATTGTTCGGAGCTTCAAGTGAACGAAGGATGACACAAATCATTTCTGCCGTGTGACTTTGACAGTCAACGAGTGTAATAGAAGGTTGTCTAACCATAACCCATGTGGAGTGCCGAGTAAGACGTAGATGCCAATTTAATCGAGATGACGTCCAAGGTGCTTCCTTCGATCGCAGCTCAACCTGGCGAGTGGATGGCTCCAACCAATGAAAGTAATCGTCGATCAGTGTAGACGGAAGATCATTTCTGAAGATTTCACGTGGTAGCAACTCCCAGACCCGACCATCCTTCCCGTCAAGCATGCAGGATCTGCTTCGCAGAACGAGTTTTCCATCCCGCCATGCAAAGTGAATTATCTGTTTGACAGTAACCATCAGTGGAGGGTAATTTCGTGAATTCCTTATTTTTAACCAACCTGGTGGCCGTCTTCTTCCTCTTGAGTTCCGGTTCCGGAACCACGGGATAAACTGACTTTGGTCGCATAATACATGTCCTCCATGTTCGATGGTACGACGGCAAGGTTTTTCTGCAAAATTGGAACGTAAATCTACGGGTCCTGTTATTATAGTGGAAAAATGCTGCCGTACTGCGCCAAAAAGTTCTATATACGTCGAGTGTCCCACAATTTCAGGTGGCAATCGACCGAGTGGTTTCCCGTCAATCAGTAAAGAACCACTCAATATATTGAGATGAACCTCCTGTCGGCGTTGACCGGCTATGGTGGTGGTGGTGGTCAACCAGCGATCATTAGGTTCTGGTAGCCTTGTCCAGCGACATGTCAAGTCGAATCCGTTCCAAATGTTCGCCACCGCGCTATTAATGCCTTTCATGGGTTCCCAGGCCTGGATACGGGCAATGAGGAAGCCTTCCATATTACAAGACAAGCACTGATCTTGGAGAAGCAATCGGTGCAAATGAGGGTCTGCACTCGCGGAAGTCACCTGCGGAGAATGGATGTTGACGATGATAGCACATTCAATGAAAGTGGCCACATCCTTCGAACTCTGAAGGAGTGAAGGGACATGGCACGAATCAACGTCAAACGTGCTTCTGCAGGTTGCAGCTATTCGACATATTGCTGCTTGATACTTGTTCCGTTCCAAATCATCTTGAGCTTCTGACTCAAGTGTCATGAGATCCCGCAACCAGCGCAAGGTGATCCTTCGGATCTTCCGGAGTGTACTATACGTTTTGGAAATGATCGATGTTCCTGTGGAGGCTGAAGCCAGCAGCCGAGAGGCAAGTGTGGTGATAGACAGTGCTGTGACGCTGTGGAGCCAGTTCCCTTCGATGTCCGTCCCCAGCTGATCAAGGACGCCTAGCAACACGTCACCGAATGAGGGATTTCGCAACTCCTCATGAAATTCCCAGAGACCACCATTAGAAAGACATCCTATTTGGCAAGCAGCCTGTGATATCAGGTCATAAACCTCTTCACGATGAAAACTGAGATTCCCTGAGGCAATCTCTCGAACAATATTATACCACTGCAAGCGGGCTCCAGCGCGCAACGACCCAAACGCTATGAATTCATGCAAGTTGAGCGAAGGTGGACATCTATGCTGGCTTGCAAGAACCTCATTTGAAGTGTGAGAAGTTCGTTGTGCAAAGTGCTCCAAGGAAGCATAGGGTGACCGTTGCGATATCGGTATGGACGTTTTATGACGGAGACCACAGTCCCAAGATGGGGGATGCACCCACGTGTTGTGGTGTTCGTCATATAGTCGATATGATAGCGCATTCCGAAGACAGACATCTTCTTCGCTTGCCGGGATTTTCACATGGTTGTAATGAGAGGTCAGAAAGGACTTCTCCTGAGATGCCAACGAGATCCGACGCCGAGAACCAGAAACAAGATATCCAGAGAGATGATTGAGATTAGCATAGTGTTCCAGCGTCATAGACGGGTGAGCTTCCACCGACGAGAGAGGAGGTGTGCAAATGTCACGGAGGAGCCAGTACGTAGTTGTTCTCCAAGTCTTGAAAACCCGAGGGCCTGCGAGTTCGAACACGACCATTTTGGCTCGTATCTCATCCTCTGGGAGTGGCCATTCGTGAATATCTATCTTGAGTGCTCTGGCCTGTCGTTCACATTTGCATTTTTGGCAATAACGGTCATGCACTACATAGCCGCGACGCGTGATGAAGTCGCTGTGATCAAGAGAGTCTGCAGACCAAGATCAGCCTCATGGTTATATATATATCTTCAAAATCATACCAGCCAGTTCCATTTTTTTCTCGTATTCGAGACTCAACAAGCTCAGCTCGCGGAGCTTTTCATCCCGCTTTGCAGTCGCTTGCGCCTCTATACGGCACCTTACTTCCTGAAGCGACGGAGATGAGTCGAAAAATTTAACTGCAAAAATATCCTCATCGATTGATTCCGAGAAGATCGATCGAGGGTCGCCGCTAGCTTCGCGATAGCGCTTGTGGAGATACGCCTGGAACATTGAAATCCGCTCCAACGATTTGGATTTCCTAAGCAGAAGAGCCTCATATAGAGTCGGAGGAACTTCAGGAGAATAATCCTTCAAAAGAGGACAGCTTGCCACGGCCAACATATCAAGTGCCCTCCAGAGCTCGAAAAGAGTGAGCAGCATGATGGACTGTTGCTCGGGAACCCCGGCGTACAGCCTTGCCGCGTTTTCGGCATATGTCGTCATGCAATTGGAAAGTGTGTCGCAGGCGTTTTCGCTGATGGAGTACATCTGAGAACGCACCCACAGATCGATATGATCTTGTACAGAATGCTCAAAATCCCATAGCGCGATAGATCCATTTGCTTTTACCGCTGGCGGAAGATCCTGGGGATGAATTCGAAGAGAAAACCAGGCAGTCGTCGATGATGATCCGGGATGAACGCAGTGTTGCGAGTGGTATCAGTGGTTACTGCCGGGACGAGCGCAGCGATGATATGAGCCATGGAACTTTTTAGGGTGAGTTCAGTATCCCCAATTACGTCCAACTCATCTGGCGCCCATGTTGGTGTTCTCATCTGCGCGTCTTGAACGGCTTTCCATCGATCTTGGAGCAGCCATTCTGTATCAAGAACAACTTCGTGCACATATGTAACAAGAGCTGAATCTACCCAGGACCGGATTTTAAAGAGCCGACGGCTAAGTTTGGCACGCATGCAATGAAGAATGTCACCTGATAGACGGTTCTTGACAGAGAGACGCAAAATATCAGCTAGAAGGAGCACCATAAAGCGCTTGTATTCGTTGGTGCTCAAAGTTTCTCGATGAATTGTAGTTTGCAAGGCGACACGAACAACGAGCCAGAGAGGACTACGTCTCCATGGAAGTGAAGTTTTATCCCATAAGACATCATCCGACGTCCTCTTCCGGATGCGGGAGACGTCCGCAGGCTGTCCTAGACCACAAAGTATCCCGGTCAACAATTCGGCAATATACCGAGGATGGGTCGTGTCGCGCTCTTCAATGACATTGCTTCTCGCCTTCCTAGTCATTATTTGAGCGTCTTCCAGTGATTCAGCGTCCATCTGAGTCAGGAACGCAGCCAATTCCTTGAGAAAAGCCGGGTCGCAGGCGATATCATTACGAACAGTGATAGCAGGGCCAGGAAAGGATCGCAAAAGCTTTCTTGTACAGCCCATCACGTCTTGATTCCTTGAAGAGACTTCGAAACTCTCGAATGTTGTTTCTTTCCCGCCACAACGGATGATCACACCGGCGTTTTGTGCACGAATAAGGATGGCAATAGTTTCTGTATTCATGTAAGTATGTGGTGGCTGCCATTCCAACTTGAAGTTAAAGTGGACTCCTTACCTCCGGGACTCATTCTTTCGATACATTCGCTAATCCCGACCTCTTGGCACTCATTAATTCGTCGCAAGATATCCACCATCCTCAACAAAGAGCCCCACATTACTTGATGCTCAGCTATAGCAAACTGCCGCCTGTGAAGCTCTATGGACTTGCGAACAGTCAACAGAAGAAATTCCGTGTGCTTTGAGCTGTCATCGGTCTCCTGGGGTAGCCTAGGAGGCATGAAGACGTGGTTGATGACGAAGCATAGCAGGTCGCGCATTGTGTGCTTGTAGATAGTGAAAAGGAGAGGTTTAATCGTGAGTTATCGGGCACGTGCAGTCTGGCCTCCAAGTGACTAATCGACAAGCCAACTAGAACTCGAAATCGATGTTTCCCGCTGACTATGATGCTTGACCCATGTGCTGATGGGGTGTGAGGGAGAAAACCTAGAAAACCCGACCACAAAAGGAAATATGTACTGAAATTCGTCACATGGCGTTCGCCACGACTGATAAAATGTTTATTTAGCCTAGCTCGATGCAGGCAAAAAGCAGGCCGCTCATAGACGCAACAACGACCCAATGGTGATAATATCCAAGCTTATTTGCGGAACTGAATGGATTTGCCCACGAATTGAATGCTGCCTTTTGCGGTGGCTATTTTCACTCATGCCCAAGAACTGGCATGGCGACATGAGCTATAACTATGGGAGAACATGCATACTGACCCTTGGTTAAGGTATGATTTGAGCTGGGACTGCAGCGACAAACCCAGGCCAGCATACATAGTCTTTGCATCGCTACAAAGAAAACAGGAGCCTGCACTCACTAGGTGATTTAAATATGAACTGGTTCAGAGGTGCTAATAGACTGAAGCACTAGGTTGCTGCGAATTACAATTGTGCAGGTACCTCGGACGGCGAGCTCCGATTAGCAATTTCGGTGCGCGTGGTGCCAAGCCACGCGGTTTGTTTATGCGCCGGGTCCCTTTCCGGAATCTGAATAGGAATAGTGATGATGATGTTTTCTATGAACCGAACACGTACTCGGAGTAACTTGGCTTACCTGTATTTTTATGGGCGGCATCTCTGGCGGGTCAGTTTCGTGGTTCAGGAACTGATAGTCTATCTAGTATCGACCTAACCATCAGACCTGTGTCATGTCAACAGCAGCTGCGATGGTCGCGGAGACAACTCCCTGATTGACCGGCATAACAACGGTCTCACTTGGGCTCTCAACCTTTCACATTTCTCTCTTTTTTTTTTCGTTCGTGATCGGAGCCACTTGCTAATCCACATACCATTCGTTCTCACTCACTGCACCAAATATCCCTCGAAACGAAATGGAGCACTTGCGCTTTTGAAACACAATAAGGCGCCCGCGTCCCCCTTATGACGGGCCCAACTCCACGGGGACCCCATACGGAAGATATCCGGTTCACTATTCTTTACCCTCACTAAATGTAACCCGAGGCATCATTGTTGGAGTTTGGGTTCTTGTTGAGAGCGAATGTATTGTCGTTGTATGTCGAGGAAGAGGGCGATAGGTGTGCGTTGTCGAATGTCTATTTTTTGGGGAATGTAGGTAGCCATTCTACCGCACCGTTCCCCGGAAAACTCGACTTCTCATTTCATTCTTTCATTTCTCTCATTCTAGCCATGGAACGAGCCTCCACAGTGGCTGTCTCGGAAAGTGATCCTGTACCGCAACATCTGCACCAAAGCAGTGGGCGGAAACCTCTTCCTCCAAGGCCACTTCGAAACTCTTTCCTGGCACCCACTCTGAGAGATTTCGATCATCACATCAGGCGATTCATGGGAGGGACATCACCCAAGTACCCCTTCGCATCAGCCGATCACTATTATGCCAGTTCTACGACTCATAAGAGGACGCATTTCTCGGCGTTCAACGTGGGGGACGATTGAAAATTCTATAAAGGAGATCGGAAGCGATGGGAAATTCGGCTGTCAACGTGGTCACGCCTTATGGTGGGCATTTGGGGTGGTTTGAAGGTGGGAAAGGGATTGCGAGCGGGTTGGGGTTGGCTAGGGGTGGAAGAGAGGGGGTCGGTGAAGAATGAAAGAGGGTTGGAAGGGAGTGATGTCGTTGTAAGTTGCTCGTGAAGATTGACAAGGCTAGGGAGCCAGTTCGGAGCTGCCAGTGCGGCTTGATCGAGGATCCTTTGCGCGTTGGAACATTCTCTTCTGTGTCCAATGCTTGGCGTCTGGCTGCTTTTCCTTAAGAGACTTTTCTCTTTCGTGTTAGACTTTATGACTGACGCGCACTCACGTATCCGTAATTAGTTAGTTCAACAACATTTAATACTGAGCGTAATACGCTAGCGTAAATTCGCTACCCTTCTATGTAATACGGCAACCCACACTGTAGGATTGCTGTGGGACTCTTGGTGTACATGCCAGTGCGCAGTATTCCCTGACAATACCATACACAGTCTGCACGCGTGTGACAGTGGGACTGCACCGATCGGATGTGAGGTTCCGCTGGCCGGAAGGCTCTAACATGACCTTCATGTCGCAAGCTCATTCAATGGTATATACGCCTAGCTGCGAATTTGCAAGCTGGACAATTAGATACATGATCAGTGATGGGGCATATTCCGTCAAAACTCCTCTGGCTGTATGAATGCCCCATTAACAATTCGCCCAAGATGAGTAGAGGCATAGGACGTTCCTTGAGCGTGGCGTGTTAGCATGGGCACTTCGGGCTGATGGAACAACTCACCCTTCCTCCGGAGACTCGTTAGTTTGCGGATGAAAGGCAGAGGACTAATATCAAAAGGGCAGATCAATATCAATCTCATTTCCACAGTACGCCTCTTGGGTAGGATAAAACCGTCACTTTGCGTTTCTACTTCGTTCCTCCCATCATGACTAGTGTTAATTCCCAGAAAATTGCAAAGTTCGAGATACGTTTCGAAGTCGTTGATGTATAACTGGCCTGAGAATATACTGAGCTGCGAGACTGTGAGCCTCTCCGGGTAAGTCCACGTCGTTGGTAGGGATGGGATTGTGTAAAATTTGAGATCATCGAAGGATCTCATCGGCTGACTCGTTCTTGGAGAGTACACGTGCAACCTGACGTTGCCGCTGCGGCGAATTTCCGGGAGCAATTCATTCACCTCAAAAGGACTGCACACCACGAGCATCGATCCGTGAATACTAGACAGTATCCAGTTCACAGGCCGAAGAAACTCGTTGCCTTTCCGTGCATTCGAACCCTTGGTTGTGGTGACGAAGTCGCTCGTTGCAAGAAGGTTGCGTGACCACTTGGTGCATTGCTGAGACCGAGGGAGGATTGTGATTGAAGAAAAGAGAGAGATGAAAGCACGAGAAAATGGTGGGATTTGACCATCGCGCACGAATGATACGACACCAGGATGGAGGCGATGGCGTGCAGGCCGTAAAGGTGGTGGTGGTGACTCCTCAGCCTCCGGCTCGCGCTCAGGCTCGTGGGTCACTTCGCGTTCCTGTTCTTCTGCCATTTTCACCAGCCAACTCTCTGTGGAGGTTGAAAAAATCTCACTCCTCTGCTTGATCTCGCGACAATCGGCTGCGGGATGAGACAATTCCTGTTCGAGTGGCCTGGAGGTCGATGGTGCCCCATACATCTCCTCGAGAGACTTCAACTCGGGTCTCAACCAATATTTTGCTAACACTGAGGTGCGGGGGATGAAAGATGTCCAAAACTCTTCCCATTTTGCTAACAACGAGGTGCGAGGGATGGAGGGTGTCCAAAATTCTTCGCATGCGCATTGCCTATCGATGTAATGAATGCCTTGCTCTCTCCAGTCACAACTATAACGCCGTAGGCCGGCACACGTCTCCCTGATGGACCAGGAAAGAACGTCGTATACACCGATTCGTTCTCCATGGATCTTTTTCGAGAACTTGCGGATTTTGCGATCCACATCAGGAGGGGCGAGAAAAAGGACAGATTGTCCCTTACCCAACCCGCGCATTCGCATACATCCTGAAGACATACCTGCTGATCCGATCATATCCTCATAGGAATAGGAAGGCTCACCTTGGACTAGTCTATCCTTTGTCACTTTCGGACCTAATGTAACTGCCGCACGATAATCGGCAGGCAATTTCAAGTCGGTGCCTCTTGTGTGGGAATCGTCCAGGTACACGAGACAACGATCAAGCTGGTATCTGTACGATGAAGAAATGAATGGTTCCGTTGCCCCATCACGCCTAATGACGAAGATTTCGTCATCTTCGGAGAAGAAGATCGCAGCATCTACATCTACTGCCGAGACTTGCGAAAGCCATATCGATGTCAATTCCTTATTAGAGTATTCCAACATCTGGGCGCCCACATCCAACAAAACTCGTATTTGAGGAGTTTCCCCGACGACGACGTCCAGAAGCTCGCTACTGGCCACACTTCGGTAGTGATCGTTCTCAGGCTGCAACATCAAATTCAATACCTTAGCATTTGTACCCAATTGCGCAGGGATGTCGTCCTGTTGAATAGAAGTGGGGAGAAGATAGCGGTTGTCATTGGTACCACTGAAACCCGTCGTTACGTGTTGCCTTCGTTCGGCGATGTCCCAACCCGATGTGGAGAGTTTTTGAGGAAATGTCTTGGCTTCTTTCGGAAAAACTACCTGACAGAGGAAGAAGTTGATCGTCGACGGGTTCCTTTCGAAAGCTGGATAGAGATGCTGGATCTTTTGTTCGCGGTCATCCGGGTTGAAACTACTGTAATTGCGGAGAAAGTCTGGCACCAAGCAATTATCCTCAACCCACTTGCGATATTCCGATATAGGATCTTCTAGTTCGTCGATATGCTCGAAACACATATCAAGCTGATCGTAAGACAATCCGCAATAGTAGTAGCTGAGGTATGTCAGAGAGATGCAGACGTCCGGGTGACTGAATTCTGCTCTCAGTGCAGGCACGTCCTTTGCACGATAGGGCACGGCGAGAAGTGACCGCGTTAGGTCAAGCCCATAGTCTACTCGCCACCTACGTCCACTGAGAATGTACATAAGTATCCCATGCGCAAAAAGGCCTCTCAGCAGGAGCAGAATGCTCCATAGACGGTTGTCACTGCGACAGTGATTTCGCAATTCAGGAAGTGTTCCAGGATCCCTTTGGGCGATGAAAGCCTCTGCTTCTCGTCGTACCCCTCCATGAAATAGCCTGAACGGAGGTAGATCAGGAGACTCCCCTTGCATTATTCCTTGTAAAAGAGATTTCAAAATTTGGACGCCAGCTTCGTGTCTGAGAATGCGAAGTCGAGGGAAGTATCCGTCTCGTTGCTCGAGCTCGAGACCCCCTTGAGAAGCCAGCTGATTAAGAAGCCCGCCCCTACTACGCAGGATGGAAAACACATGCTGCACCGTAGTCCATCTGACAGGCTGAGGACCTAGGGGCTGCTGAGTGCCAACTGTGTACACAAGTTGACACTTGACCGCCAGAATCTCGTCACTCTCGTCCAAAATGTCCCTAACGTTTGCGTCCAGCCATCGCTGTAGCTCCAGCATTGCATTTGGAGTCGGAGTCCCCTTGCGCCTAGCCGATGAGAGCTGTCGTTCAACGCCCGTGAGTTTGAACGATAGGACGTGTTCAGGCTGCATAACCAGTATGCCACCAACATTCATGCATTGATGGTAGATCCTTTGAAAAGCATCCGGCTTCACTGCGATAGCACGGGAAAACGGCATGCAATATATTCGCCGATTCGCTAAGCCGCTCAAGCGTTGAACCAGTGACTGGAATGTTTGATTTGCTAAGGGCTTTGGCACGATGATTCTGACTAGTTTTTGTCCATCTGCTAGAGATACGGCAATAAGGGAATAATGACGGACGATTTTCCCTCCCCCATATTGAGTTGAAGGATGGTATTGCCTTGTGAGCGAGGAAACATCATGTTACGCGCAACATCAACTTGAAGAGGGCGCGCAAGGAAGTTGGAGTCAATCTGGGGATCTCAGAGAGTTAATTCCGTCGTCCGTGCCGACAAACGACGCGCTCACCTGGACAAGTAGCCAGTCGTCAGAGACGTCATGCAGATCAGGATAACTCGAACATTCCTTCAGAAACTCATCGGATTTGGGTCCTAATCTCATCAATCTCTCCGATCGCTGCCAAAGCAGTATGGACTGGGCGAGGCAAACGAGGACGTTCCTCCATTCGGGGGATAATTTAACTTTTGAACGGGATGAGAATGATAGGTGGTGCAGTAAAGAACGAGTGGTGCTCTTCGGCCATAGTCCTGCAACCCGCATAACCTCCTGTACTCGCTCTGACTGAGGATCTGGGTTGAGCGCCCCTCCGATTTTCCCTAACACATGAGAGAGGTGAGATTGGTACATCTGGTGATCGCGGTAAAGCTCTTCTCGAAGGGTTTCTACTTGCTCCACGCTAATCTGTGTGTCGCCATGCAATGCATTGTAGCTAGCCTCGAGATCAACCGCATATTTCTGGAATATCGAGCCGTGGGATGAATGGAGAGTTGAAATGAGGCTTTGAGATTATTATGTTCCGAAGCCGGTTTGATGGTAAACCATCTTTTAGTTTTCAAAGGGGAAGGTGTACGCGCAAGAATCGGAGGTTGTCGGAGGAAGACGTTACTGTATGATACAATAGACGGATTCGCTTTTGCAAGTTGCAAGGAGGTCGAAAACGAATATATCGGTAGAACCGGAGCATCTGAATTCCAAGTCTGGTGTGTGTCCAATCCCGTCTGAACTGCCCGAATGTGCTGGCGTAATTCCAAGTTTCTAAACCACTGTTCAAACAACTCAGTCACATTGACCATGGCGCGAAAGGTGTCGATCAGCCACACATTACCATCCGGCGGACTTGGTAACGTTGGTGCTCTTGTGGGTTCATGATCCCACTGATCGATTAAATGTTTGACAAGAAAAGAAACTTGAGAATATGCTCGGAGACCAACTTCGCCTGGACGGATCCATGCCGTAATGTCGTTATAGAGTTTGGGTGCATTTGGTCTGTAGCCCATGCGCAAATTGTATTCAGGCCACAACGGCGGATCAATGGAACGAAACTCGGGGTAGCGTGCGAATGCAAGTAAAGCAGGGACCAAATCCTCGCCTCGATCAGTAGAGTAGCCCAGTGCCGAAAGACTAAACAACATTTTGAAACGAGTACGGTTTCCCCATCCCTCCGTTCGACACACATTGTACAAAGGAATCCATTTGCCTGGCATATCCAAGGGCAGCCATTCCTTGTTAAATCCCAAACGCACATCCGACAAGTGATTGGGGGAAGAGCCTCTGATGTCGTGGGTCCACGATTCCACGTGAGACAAAAGATCATTGGGGGTCTTCAACCGACGTGGACAACGATACACCAAGCTAGAGACATTCGATGCAGCACGAATACGGGTTGTATCGAGTCCTTTGTTAGCGTCCCTAGATTCATATATTACGTCTTCACCCCGCATGCCCCGTGGAAGATCAGGGCCGTACCAGACTGCATTGTGGCATCTAGCACGGGAAAGCAGATTAAAGTCTCCCCGACCGCTTCCGGGACAGGCGGAGGGACCAAAGACAACCATTTCGTTATTCCATTTGAAAATAGATTGGGCCTCAACCCAGAAAGCACCGTGTTGGGTAAGCGGCTAAGTGTTTCGTTCCAGTTAATTTGTTGCCCCCCTTCCCACGTCCAGAACCTTGATGGCGTTAACGCCGATAGCTGATGCAGAAGCTGACATTCCTGGTTATCAAGGCTTTGAAACGATTTGCAACGTGCTGATCGAAGGATTTGGATCGCTTCCTCGACTCCTGACAATGACGTAAGAGGATCAGGCAGGGAGTAACTAGTCACAGCGTGAAGGAATGACTGGAATAAGGTGCTGAACAAGCTCCCATCTCCAACCAGACGACCCAGTAGGACATCGACGTCATAATCACAATATTTGACGCATGACAATCCCGAGTTATCAATCGCAACAGTGACGTGGTCACCATCACTTGTGATAGTTACTTTCCCCGTCGGAATTATGACGCGCCTCGAACAATTGAGCTTCACGCCAGGAGCGCTCCGGCGCAGAACCAGCTGACTGCGGAGGCCCAGCATTGTGCCTGTTGATTGATTACTATCTACTTCAAAACCCGGAAAGTTTAATGAACGAAGTTTTCCGCCCTTCAAGGTGAAGGAGAGCTGAAACCGAGGAAGATCGACACGCAGTTCTCGCACCGGCGACCTCGCCAATGTGATAAGAATATTATTGTCAGGTTCAAGTGGACGAAGCATGGCACAAATCATCTCCGCCGTGTGGCTCTGACAGTCAACTAGTCTGACAGAGGACCCTTTATCCATGACCCATGTGGAGCATGCAGTACGACGGAGGTGCCAATTCGATCGGGAGGATGTCCAGGGTGTCTCCTTAGGCCGTAGCTCGATCTGACAAGTCGATAACTCCATCCAATGAGAATAATCGTCGACCAGACTAGGTGGGAGATCGCCTTGAAAGATTTCACGTGGTAACAATTCTAGGACCCGATAGCTCTTTCCGTCAAGCATAGGGCTTCTACTTCGTAGAATGAGTCTTCCATCTCGCCACCCAAAGTGCATCTGCTATTTAATGGTGAGCATCAGTGAAGCCCATTTTCTTCGTCGCCTTCAACGGACCTCATCCACATCTTTGGTCTTGAGTTGAGAGTTGTAAGATATATGAGCTTTGGTAACATAGTCCATGTTTTCAATGTCCGATGGAACAGCGTCCGGATTTCTCTGCAAACGGGCTGTGAATTGGCGGGCCTTATTATGGATGAAGAATAGTTCCGCACTACACCGAAAAGTTCTTTATATATTGAATGCCCACGGATGTCAGATGTTAACCGACCAGGTGGTTTTCCATCAATGAGCAAAGCGCCACTCAATACGTTGAAATAAACATTTTGAGCCCTTTGGCTGTTTACGGCAGTAGTCAACCAACGATCATTGGGTTTTGGTAACCTTGTCCAGCAGCATGTCGGATCGATGGCACTCCAAACGCTTGATATTGCTTTATTGACGCCCAGCATGTTTGCCCTTTCTTGAATGAGGGTAAAAATGAGTTCTTCCATACTGCAGGACAGGCGGTTATCTCGGAGGAGTAACAGACGTAAATGAGGGTCTGGATCAGTGAGGGTTTCTTGGGGGGAATGGCTATAAAGAATGATGGCACATTCGATGAATATGGCGACATCTTCCGGGCTTCGAAGCAGTGACCCAGCATGGTGGACATCGACATCAAATGAGCTCCTACAAATCGCAGCCAAAGGACATATTTCTCCTTGATATTTTTCCCGTTCGGCTTCGGTTTCGGCGTGCGATTCAAGTGCCATAAGTTCGTGCAACCAGCTCAGAGTGGTGTCTCGTATCTTTCGAAGTATCTTATACGTTTTGTTGATGATCGGTGGCGCCACAGCCGAGGCCAGCAGTCGAGAAGCTAGCGTAGTGATGGTCAGTGCTGTGATACCCTGGCGCCAGTCCCCTTCTATATCTGTCCTCAGCTGTTCAAGGACATCCAATAACGCATCGCCGAATGGCGCCTCTTGTAAAACCTGGTGGTGTTCCCAAACACCATCGCTAGAAAGACATCCAATTTGCCACACAGCCCGAGAGATGAGGCCACAAACCTCCTCACACTGAAAACTCAGATTTTCAGAAGAGATCTCTCGGGCAATATTGTACCACTGCAACCTGGCCCAGCGCGCAACGAACCGAAGGCGATGAAACTGCGTAAGCGAAGCGAAGAGGGACATTCATGTTGGCTCGCAAGAACTTCGTTTGAAGTGTGGGATGTCCCCTGTGCAAAGCGTTTCAAGGAAGCATATGGCGACTCTCTCGATATCCACATGAATGTTCTATGACTCAGATCGCAGTCGCCAGATGGAGGATATGCCCATCCAAGATGGTTATGGTCCCACAACTGACATGAAGATGTATATGTGCCACGGACATTGCCTTGGTTGTCTAGAATTCTCAACTCCGGTACCAGCGATATTCGGTGCTGGGGATTCGGAACGCGACTCAGGTCACGGCGGGCATACAATTCCCGCCTCATGAGTCGTCGTTCTCTTTCCGGCGCACAGATGTCACAGAGAAGCCAATAAGTTGTCTCCCTCCAAGCCCTGAAGACCTCAGGAACTGCTCGTTCAAATACAAAGATTTTGGCTCGCACCGGGTCTTTTGGTAGAGGCCATTCGCGAATGACTGTCTTCAGGACTCTTGCCCGCCATTTGTAATAGCATTTTCTGCAGTCTTCCCGGTCGTGCCACAACCCAATGCGGCCTACAGTGTGAAAGCCTAAAGATCCAATTTAGTCCCTGATTGCGGACACAGTTACCTTCAAGGTCGTACCTGCTTGTTTCATCATTTTCCTATATTCTAGATCTAGCAAGTGAAGCTCGTAAAGTTTTTCGCTCGTCCCCGCTTGTTCCTCTATGGTGCACTTGAGATTCTGGAGTGATGGAGAAGACTCGAAAAATTTGACTGCGAAAGTTTCCTCATCGACAATTCCTGAGAAAACCGATCGAGGGTACTACCAGCTTCGTGATAGCGCTTGCGCAGGTAGGTCTGGATCTTCGAGATGCGTGCCAACGACTCGGATTTCGATAGCAGGAGGCTCTCATATAGAGTCAGTGGAACCTCAGGCGAATAATCCTTCAAGAGGGGACAGCTAGTTATTGCCAAAATGTCGAGTGCCATCCACAACTCAAAAAGCGTGAGGAGCATAATGGACTGTTCCGCTGGTGCCCCTCTGTACAGTTTCCCGGCCTCTTTGGCGTATGTCGTCATGTAACGAGGGATTAAGCCGCAAGCACTTTCGTAGTTCTGGTCGGAGATTTGCCGAGATACCCATTCGTCAATGCGATCTTTTACGCAACGCTCAAAATCCCAAAGCGCAACAAATCCATTTGCTTCTACAGCTGCTGGCAGACTCCCGGGTTCGTCGTCAAAGAGATCATTAAATGATCGTGGATAATGATGTGGTTGGAATGTGCATCATAGTTGGCGGAAATTCCCGGGACGAGAGCGGCACTGATGTAAGACCTGCAATTTTTCAAGTTGAGGCTAGTGTCCCCAATAACATCTAGCTCGTCTGGTGCCCACTGAGGTGCTCGCATCTGCGTGTCTTGAATGCTCCTCCATCGATCTTGGAGCAGTCCTTCCGTATCAAGCACAACCTCGTGGACAAATGTGATTAGAGACGGGGCTGCCCATGGTCGGACTTTAAAGAGTCGGCGGCTAAGTTTGGTCCGCATGCAATAAAGGATATGTCCCGGTAAACAGTTCTCAACACCGCTCCGCAGAATCTCGGCCAGAAGGAGCACCATGAAAGACTTGTATTCCTTCATGTTCGAGGTGCCTCGATGAATCGTAGTCTGCAACGCGACGCGAACAACGAGCCAGACGGAGCTACGCCGCCATGGGACAGAAGCGGTTTCTCCCCGCAAAACATCGTCCGATGTCCTCTTCTGGATGCGAGAAATGTTGGCAGGCTCCCCCAGCCCACGGAGTATCCCAGTCAGTAATTCAGTGACGTACTTCGGATGAGGTGTGTTGTTATTCGTGGAATCCCATCGCCGTCGGGGCGCGAACGAGAACGAGCGGTTCCCGTGTTCTCCCTTATCTTGCGGTTGATCACTATCCACTGTGTCCGTATCCTGCAGTGGATCGCTATCCACATCCTGCAATGGGTCACCGCCCATTGTGTCCCCATCCTGTAGTCGATCACTGCCCATTTCGTCCTCGTCCTCCCGTTGATCGCCGTCCACTGTGTCCTCATCTAGCGATTGATCGTCGTCCATCAGGTCATCCTCCCGTTGATCGCCATTCATCTCAGTTAGGAATGCAGCCAATTCTTCTATAAAATCCGGATCGTGCATAACATTGTTTCGGATGGCAATTGCGGGCCCGGAAAGGAGCGGACAAGCTCCCCCGTGCAACCCACCACGGCACTATTCGTTGGCGAAGCTTCGAAATTCTCGAATATTGTTTCCTCCTCACCACAACGGATGATCACACCCGCGTTTTGAGCACGAATGAAAATGGCGATGGTATCTGCATCCAGAGATATTACTACTACTATTCAGCTCTAGCTTGTATCTAGTGACATTACCTCCAGTGCTCCTTCTTTTGATGCATTCGCTGATTCCAACCTCCGGGTCCATGTTGATTCGCCGCAACGTACCCACCATTTTCAACAATGAATCCCACAATGCTTGGTGTTCAGGCGCAGCATAATGCTGTCTGTAAAGCTTTATGCTCTTGCGGATGGTTGACAAAAGAAAATCTATGCGCTCCGGACTCTCATCCGCCTCTTGGGGCAACTTGGGCGGCATGAATACATGGTTGATGACGAAGTCTAAAAGATCATCCCCCATTGCGGGCCGTGAAGCGTAATAATCGAGAAGCCTTTGTGTTGAGACGTCGCAATGAAAAAGAGGCAGGGAGAAGGGATATCGAATATCGTGAGTCAAAAATCAATCAATCGGAATGCACCCCTCTAGTTTTCATCCCCATCAATATTGTCCCCGTACCAAGGAGAATGCTCCTGACATACCAGTGAAAACTTTGAATCACGGTTTCCTGCTAACCGCGCCAATGGCAGCCTAGGCCTGAGTATGGTGTAGATCAGCTCGGTGAAGAGAGCTCGAGGCGTGTGTGTAGCTTGGCCAGTATAGCCGGTCAGAGCTATTAAGGGGCGTTCTTCAATGTAATTTGACCACGAGTGTAGCGCCTGATGGTTCTGTGGGATTCCATAGCATTCATTTGGCCCTGAGGACAGCAGAACCAGATAGCCGAATGCGGGAGTTCCATTCTTGGGGACTAGCTTATGTATGATGTGTTTATGTGAGATATAGGAAGCGCGTGTGGCAGTGCCATTCCCCTGCACAGCCTTCATTTTCTGAACCTGATTACAGCGAAGTGCAAAAAAATCTGCCGGTTTTGATTCGAACGGGTAAGTGGGGCAGGTGAATCCTCTACCTAAAAAAGTTGGCAAGATCGTGGCTCACGACAGGGGTTTCCTTATTTGGATCAACAGCTCAAGCACCGGGGTCTTCACCCTCGGCAATCACGGCAAGGGCAACAACAGTTTGAAGAGTAAAAATTGAATATCATGGTTACCAATTAGATGCTCAGTACAAACTTAGTGCCATGGACAAAGAAATCACGTCGGTGAGCCCTATCTCCATAAGGGGCCCAGCCATATGTACGCGACGATGCATGATGGTTGACCCTGTCTGTTATAAAAATGGGGCCTAATGTTGAAATAACCACCTCAGCCTAACGGGGCGTATGGTGTAATGGCTGTGCACGCTGAGTTCGCGATCCAGAAGACTGGAGTTCGATTCCCAGTATGTCCAACTTTTAGGTTTCCCTAAAAGACCACGTGCAAATTCCAACACCTAATTGGCCCATTTCTATAGCGTTCGGGTGCAGGAGGGGCCGTGACATTGAGAAGATGTTACAATTAATGTAACAGATGTTGTAACAAAGGTGTTTACAATAACATTGACATCGGGTTTTTGGGTAGTAATAGTTCGTTAGGTTGTTATTATTTACATGTCACGTGATATTGTACTGCATAGAGCCCATAAGAGGCTAAAAATGGGAAAATCCCATTTCCATAACACTGTCTCATCCACAAAAACGAGTTGATTGACATTGTAAGTCGCCCCCATATGCCTCCTGAAATCTGCTCGGAGCTGTTCATCATGCTCAGCTGCTGGCCTCTGGATCTAGTTTGGATTCGGACAGAGTTACGATTCCCAGAAACATTGGGTGTTGTATCGACCCTCATAATCGCATTGCCAGCATTATTGATGGATACAAGGCCCAAGGACCACTTATGAGGTAAGAAATCAGCTAATGATACACAAGGAAATGGTGTGGAAGAACAGGTGAGGGGGACTAGGCACCAAATCAGCTGCACACCTATACTGAATGATGGAGCAGCAAGCAACTTCCGAACAGTATGTTCGGACACTCCCGAGGCCTCAGCAATCTCTTGTTGGGTCAAGATGTCTTTTGCGCTGCACTCAAGATGTTTTCCCATGTTAATGAGTTTGGGCGCTGCAAGAGGGCTAGCGGCTCTCTATGCTGACTAAGCTTGTGGGGCCAAACTCTCCAAAACTCCTACTTCTTGACTAGACTTCGCTACACTCTCGATCCTTAGGCTCTGTATGGGTTGAAGAAACGGGTTTCTTCCGCCCGTTTCTTTTCGTTTCTTTCAGCAGTTTCTTTTAAGAAACTGCATGCCCCGGGGCATCCCGCACATGCTTGTAGATTCTCTGTCCTGTTTTTTTTAAAAGTGAATATAATAATGGCCGTTGGCCGCAAGACTGGTAATACCAAAGAACATCGCACCAAGTATCAACGGAAATTTATTGCTCTGCTTATTTCTCAATGGGCGCTTTCTGTGGTGGAAGTGTACCACCATCGCTATCTTCTGAGACGGCCTTACCATGACTCACCCTATAGGGGCGAAGATTGGGTTTGTGATCTGCTAAATGGACACCCAGATCGGTTTTATGGCCAATTTGGGGTCCACAAGCATGTCTTTCGTCATCTGGTTGCGGAGCTTCGATCCCTTGGTATGAAAAATTCAAAATATCTCGCTGTTGAAGAACATGTCGCTATCTTCCTATACTCCTCTGTAACCGGACTCTCTGTAAGACTCATTGCAGAGCGCTTCCAGCACTCATTTGAAACAATTTCAACGTCAGTGTCACCTGCCATATGTCTCGACTATATGGTACAACTGATGATTCATCAGCTACTTCAAGAAAGTGCTTTACATGCTGTCATCACCCCCCTTCTACCCGAGATATGTCCACCTACCCAAACCTGACTTGCCAACGCCAATTGAGATATCATCCAATCCTAAATTCTTTCCTTTTTTCAAGGATGTCATCGGTGCCATTGATGGCACACACATACCCTGTAATCCATCTGCAGAAGAGCGCGAAGCATCATGCAACCGAAAGGGTGGTGTATCCCAGAATTGCCTAGCAGCCTGCTCATTTGATCTCTATTTTCAATATGTGCTTAGCAGATGGGAGGGGTCAACTGCCGATATGGCCATGTACCGTGATGCGCGCGCAACAGATTTCCCTATTCCAGAGGGAAAAATGTATCTTGGAGATGCTGGCTTTGGTGCATGCGATACCCTCCTAGTTCCTTATCGAAAGGAAAGGTATCATCTGCAAGAGTTTGGCCGGAGCCAACATCGGTTAGTTCAAGTTCATTTTCCATCAAGTATTCTCTCATACACTCAACCTCTGCTGTCCCCTTAGGCCACAAAATCATCGAGAGCTGTATAATCTTCGGCATGCCCAGCTCCGGAATGCTGTGGAGCGCATATTTGGTATCATAAAGAAGCGCTTTGCAATCCTCCAGCGTGCACCTTCATATTCCATGACCATTCAAGTCCGTATTCTCCCTGCACTTTGCTGTCTCCACAACTTCATCCGGTTCCATGATGCCGATGAGATTAACAATTTTGGCACAATGGACACAAACATTCCCTCACATCGTTTTGGGGAACTTCAACATGGTGTAATCACCAGGCAAGAGAGTAATCGCGCTGGTGGGGTCCGCGATAATATAGCTCAGGCAATGTGGAATAGCTACCAACAATACTTGCTACTTCATTAATGCGTCTATCGTGATGAAATACTATCCTAGTTAGCCAAAAAATTTGGTGCCATCAGAGGGGCAATCTTCTTTTTGACCCAATTCTTTTGCAAACTATCGCGCTTGAGGCTGAGGTAAAAGTCTGCTGCATGAGGCTCTTCCTGAAGGACATTGAGAAGGGAAGTCAACTCATCATCATCCAGTTCATCCTCAATCTCTTGAGCATAGTTGGCGGCTTGAATTTTCCGCTGTGGAGTTGTAGGGGCTGTGGGAGAGGACTCGGAGGTGGAGCATGATGCAATGAAAGCCTTGGTAAAATCATTCATTGATTCCGCAAGTGCTGTGAAACCAAGTGCAGCATTTGAACGTGGGATTCCACGCTTTCGTTCAGGTACTTCAACTTTGACAACTTGCGGCACTGGTGATTCAAGAGGTGACTGAGTTGAGGAAAGAGAAGAGAGAGATGACAATTTGATGAGCTCGGGATCAACATTGCTCTCAAAGCCAAGATTGCGACGAGTTTGAGCCCGGTCAGGAGAAGGAGTATGGGTCCAGTCATTAATTTTGCCCTTATCCCGCAAAAATCTGAGTTGCAGCTTTGAAGAGGAGAGGAATTACCATACCTTTTGTTCATCATTGACTTCCCCATTCGAGGGCTCACCTGCATCATCATGCTCTGATATCCTCGTGGCACGGAATGCTTGGAGTCCATTTGCACGTCTGGGATTGATCTCATCCATCTCATCAAAGAGTGGCCACCCCTTATGACGAAAAGGAGCTGCCAGGGGCCACTCCTAGTAAATAGTATCATGAGTAGGAGTTTATCGGCAGCATGTGCAGCACGTACCACAATGAAATCAACCCAAAGTTGTTCCTCTTCAGGGCCCAGATCGGCACCATTCTCGCTACTCCATGGAAATCCCGACTGCTCTGAAAGATGTTTGACAGCCCAGTATATCTGTTTTAACTGCAAAGATATAGTCAGTATTCAAGCTTCCGTGTGTCAATGACTACTCATTAAGTGGATACTCACCTTGCCATACTTATTCTTGCAAGCAGTTGGCTTGAACACAGTCCCACATTCCTCATGTAAATGCGCAGAAGCTGAGTTCCAAACTTTGTCTTTGAACCCAATGTTCGAGGAGCCACCTGCACGCTTCACTTCAAGAAGGAAGTGGATGAGTTCGGCCTCCTCACGGGATTTCCAAACAGCACGTGAAGAAGGTGGGTCTGCAGTAGTGGGTGTAGGTTCTCCTTTGGGAGCATGACATCGTTTGTTGTTGATGGGTGGGTCAGCTGTAGTGCCAGGATCGGGATCAGCTTGCTTCCGCTTTGGAGGCATTCTCGAAATGACATTTCGCAATTAATTTTACATGTAGGTTTTATAAAAAAAAAGAAGTGGTGAAGAACAGTAAAGAAACCGTGTACCGAACAGTTGCCAGTTTCTTCTCGTTTCTTGATGAAAGCAAAAAGAAATCGGGAGAAGAAACGAGAATGATTCGGTCATCTTTTGAATTAAGAAACGAAAAGAAACGGGTGGAAGAAACCCGTTTCTTCAACCCGTACAGAGCCTTAAACTCCGTGTGGGTTCTCCGGGATTCCGCAAGGTCCGGGCTCAGTGTCCACTACTCACTCGTTGTGAGCTAGATCACTGCCCTTATTCCTACTGTTGGAATTCCACACACTCACACCCTCTCTAGCGCGTCCTAGCACCTTAGAGAAAATGGGGGAGGGGAGAACTTCTTTTCAAAATCCGGTATGTACAGGATTATATCTAATAATTATTTTTAGAAAGAATAGATGGAAGATATTGGTGCCATATGGCACCTGGGTACCTTATTAGGCGAAATAATAAAAAAGGGTAACAGTATCAATAAAAGAATATTGATCAATAACTGAAATGATGCAAAAATATGAAAATATAAGAAAATAAGCGATATCTCAATGGATTTACGGAATTAAAGGCCAAAATTGGAAATGAAGCCGGAGATAACTCTCACGCAGCCAATAAGCATTTTTACCAATTTATTAGACGCTGTGGGAACGAGTGAGGCTGGAATTCTGGGTTGCCGCTTGAGGTTCCCATGCCCGCACATGCTCGTGACCTGCTGTGCCTAACTTCTCCAACACGGAACTCCGTCAAATCTCCACCGGTTGGGACGTTCTTGATATCGTCGGAATCGTACGAATTAGCACTATTTTTAGATACCAAATTCGTATCGAGTCGTCGCATGAATGGAAGTGGTTTCTGAATGTTGGAAGCGGGTATCCGAGCTGGCTCTGCGCGTGGGCGATTATCCCGCCTACAGCGCTTAAGCACCACATTTAAGGGGAGTTCTACGGTGCCATTGGGGTTTCCATTCAAATCCTGATTTTGGTAGCAGGTGACTCCACCCCAGATCACTTCCGTCAAAATCGAAACTGGCAGATTTTTTTGTACTTCGCTGTAATTGTGCCACAACAAAGCAACTAGAAAGGCTGCTTACCGACTGAAAAGTCGCTAAACTAAGGGAGACAGGGCACATAAGACAAAAGAAACAAGCACATGCCATGAAAGCTGCAGACCCAGGAAGAAGGGCAATCTCGGGGGGCATGTGCATGACGGGACCAATTCCCTGCCCCACCCGCCGCACCAGGGTGGGGCCTACTAAGTAGGCTCTCAAACTTCCATTGAGAGGGACGAGGCCCAGACACACCTTCCGGCAGCTAAGACACCCCCAAACCAAATCAAAATAAAAAAAACCTGATAAAGATGAAACTGTACATCTATCCCGGTCCCAACCGACCCACACCGCAACATGTGCCCCCCCCCCCCCCCCGAACTCGTTAAAACCCTAAACCCGTATGCAACACGAGCCACGTAGTAAGCCCAGATGCCCATCGCGAACCGCCCAACAAATGACCCAGCCCACCCAAGAACTAGCTCAGGCACCAAAAGAAACAGAGGCAGCTCAAACACATCAAACGCCTCCGACCTCCTAGCTCCCCCCAAGAAGGAAGCAAGGATGATGAGAACCAGCTCCGAAGAAACAGCGACAGCCCCCATGGAACTGGGAAACGAGGACCAATCAACCCCCGACCCCAAAACAACAATCAGAGTCCCAGCCACCCCACCCCCCACAGCCATAGTAATCACACCAGCCCCGGGCCCAGTCAAAACACCCAACGACACCATGACCGACTTTAATGTCTGCCCACTCCCGGAGGGCTTCAACCACCGGATCCTAGGCCTCAACAGCATGGGAAGATGCCATAAACTGTGCCATAATCATAATCCCTATCTTCATGGCATTCTCCAGGGCCAAAATGGGCAAAGCCAAAGACTATGCCACCACCTTCATCAGCCATGCCTTCCCAGCATCAGCAAACACTCTCTGCACCATCCTGGCAGCCAACGAAATAGAGGAATGCAGTGACGACCCCCTCCCATGGGGCATAATGATTGAAGGTCTGACCTACCAAGACGCTGCGACCCTACTACACTACCAGCTCTGGTTCTCGAAAACCTTCAGCTTCTCGGTGCACCCGGCAACTGACTTCACATCTGACTGGCTTGGAAACTGGGACTTTGCCGCCACGGCCAAGGACACGTCTGCTGCCCTTGAATGCCTAAAAGCCACCTTGAGCTGCCCAGACACCACCATAGGAAGATACCTGGCAGAAAAGGTCCCGGACCAACCAGAACAACACATCATCATCGACTCTGCTTGTGTCTGACCAACAAACATCACCACAATGGGTAAAACAGCTGTCCACTGGGCCTTCCTAGCAAAGTCCCCCCACCCAAAAGATGTCACCAAACACCACGAATGGCTCAAAGCTGCTGAAGACACACTATGGTACAACAGGAAAATCGCGAATGGCGTTAAATGCAACCCCCCCAAACTGTGCAGAGGCTGCAAGGGCCAAGACCACTTGACCCTCCAATGACCACTCACGGACCTGCCATTCTGGCACAAAATCCACCCCACTGGCGAACCAAACGGCAACACCTGGTCCAACCTTGAAACCACTCTGGCCTTGGAACTGACTGGAAATCACAACACCGGCAACACCGAAAACCTAACTGCGAGAGGCAGGGGAACGATCTGAGGAACACCAAGAGGCAGAGGTGGAAGACCTAGCAGCACCTGTGGCACCAGAACCAGAGGCCCTAGGGGCAGACACCCAATGTAAATAACCTGCCCCCCCCGTGATAACGTGTCCTCCACTGAGCCCTCACTCACCCAAGAACCTAGTCAGGTTCTCAAAAAACTGACTAACACACTAAACATGAATAAGTACAATACAATAACTACGATTCCAGCCCCTCTAGAGATCCCAAGGAACCTGGAGGGGAGTGTGGCGAAACTGGCCCCACCTGGCAGTGCTGTCCAGCATACCAGCACCAAACCACAAGGTCCCCCCCTACTCATGCAAGGAGGTAGAGGGGCCGCAACAGTAATCCTGCCTCACCCCCAGGCCTTGGCCACGGTGGGCAAGAGGGTGAGTACTAAGCGAGCCATGGCACAAACAAGACAAACAAGACAAAAAATAAAACCAGCCAACACCGCTGAAGGAGAGAACGAAGGAAGGTCAGTTGGGAGGTTCAAACAAGACCACCACCAAGCTGTTCCCTGGTTCTTTAGTTAGGATGGGGAAGTGTACTAGTGTTATTTGTTGTAAATATAGTACCAATCCGAGTGTTTTGGCTAATTCTATTTTTATGGGTTAGTCTAAAGTTTCTGGGAATTGACTTACAGATAAACCGAGCCCTGCGGAGCTGTTCCTTTATTGAAATTTCTTAATTTGTCTAGGTGTAATTCTGTGTAGCATTGTTTAATTTGGAATTTAACTTGAATTAAATCTTCTACTTGGTGAAGTTTCAAAGATTCTACTCAGTTAATGGATTTGGATTGTGTCTGGAGTGTCCCTTGAGTTTGTTTTATTTTTGTCTTATTTTATTGCTTGTTTTAACAGTAGCAAAATAACTGTTTTGTGTTTACACTTTGAAATCTGGAGTGTTAACCAGCTCTCCTGTTGAAATATCTACTTAATATTTCTCTCCTTAATTGCTGCCTTTTACTACAGTGGCAATCTTAGCTGTATATCACTTTTTCGCACTGGAGTGACAACCAGAAATGCTTGAGAAAAATAATACTCTATTTTCTTACTTCTCTGAGGGGGGCAAAAAGTCGCAGAAAGGGTCTCCCTTTTATACTCCTTGGGTCGCCTTCCTTTTTCACGCTCTACCTCGTATTTACAGGATTTATTTACAGTGTATTTTTCTCAAACTGAATAAAAAATGAAAATTTCACGCTATAGTTCTACTGCACTTTACTGCGCTGAACTGCAGCTCTACTGCAGTCAGACTGCGCCTAGAATCCTTATTGTCCTTCCTCGCCTAAGCTATTTTAATGGTTAATTAGAACTTGACTGCACTGCATTTGTCGCAGTTTTCCTATTTCAAATTCCTCATATTTATTATTAAATTTGCTATGACTCGGTGATTCTGAATTCAAACTTTGCATTACTATGCGTGCGGCTGCGCTGAGACCTTCAGCTGATTTATTCCATTTTTATTCAGTGACATTTAGTTAAAATGAGACTTGAAATGGTAAATGAGTGAATTGTTCAGGTTTAAAACCGAAAGAAAAAGTTGCTAGTAGTCAAGAATTACTCAAACGAATGTATTATAGCTCTCCACTTCATTAGAATATCGTTCCCTAAAATTCCTGCCATGGTCCATCGTAGTTTGGTGTTTTTTGTGGATTTCGTTCATCTTCCCTGATTCCCCTTTGTATTATCACATCCTAATCCTCCAGATGTGTTGTTTGTTGTTATAGTAGGTCGTCCTCGAAGATATCATATTTTTATGTATTTTATTTAGGGCTCTGGACCTCTTGAAGCTGTCCTCCCATGCGTTATCAGGTTTCTAACTTCATGTCCTTGTATCTCATTCATTTCTGGATGGTTTCTCACGTTCTTGGTATCATAAATTTTCATTTATTCCCACCTTTCCAATGGTACTAAAGTTGTGTTCTATTTCCTGGTATTCGTCGAGTTAGCAAAAGTTTGCACATGCATTCTGTCATATCCGTGCATACCCGACCCCGACCCGACTTCCGGACCTCCACCCTCTTCACCTCCGGAGTCATAACCTACCGCTGCCGTTCCGATACTCACCCTCGGTCCTGGCAACACACCTCCTCCTTACCTCTCCGACCCTATCTCCGTCCGCTCCGATACTCATCTCGGACCGAACACCGCCCCTCTCGCCACCCTCCTACTACTCCGCTCCCCCTTCACAACACCTCCACCCTCCCGTCATCCTCCTACGCTTCCCCTGTCTGCTCCGATACTCACCTTCGGACCTGACTACTCTCCTTTCCACCACTCCTTCTCCCTTACCTTTCCCCTCTCTCCTCCCTCTGTTACTCCTCTGCCACCCTTCCACCAAGTTACGACCTTCCACCGCTGTTCCGTACTTCGCACTCGGACACCGCTTGTACCTTACTCCGAGCCTCCGTCATAGTCCCTACCTCGGACTTTGACTCCACCTCGGTCTTAGTCCATTGCATTGGTGACCTCATACTACGTAAACACCATTGCCAATATCCCTCGGACTTTCAACCCCGCCTCCGTAACCTCCGTAAGCTCCGCAACCCCCGAGCTTCGCGGACTGCCTTCGGCACTCTCGCCGCTTGTAATGTATTTCTCGCGTTTTCCCCTCATCCCTATTTGGACTACTGCTTCTTCCTATTCTAGCCAGTTAGTCATCATCCCCACTTCCCCTCATCCTCCTGCCCCTCTGGGCCTCGCCCTCCCTACCTCTTTTCGGACGTATCACAGGTCCTGCCTTATGACCTTCGGTACCGCTCCGCTCCCTCTACCCTTTGTTCCCTTTCGGACGTCTTCGTTCCGATTCGGTTACCCTTTGTTTTCCTTGTGCTTTTGCCCCTTCCATTATATATATCGGCGCTTGTACATACTCGTTTTGGTTTAGTCCGAAATCGACCTGAAATGCCCCCTAGAGACTTCCTGCTCACCTACTGTGAAATTAAGGACCAAATGGACAAACAGCAATGGCACAGCGCTCCGCTTGAGTCGCTGAGGCCAAGGTCCCTCCACGCTAAGTCTCCGATTCCACTCCGGAGTCGTCTGTTCCCGCCCGGTTCTAACACATTCAGTAATCACGTGCATTGTTCCCATAGTCATTCGTATGCGGGCACTGTTTCTGTTTAATTGTTCGGGATTTATGGTATGTGCGGGTGTTTATATCCTTCATATGGGCTTCTGTGATTTATTTCAGATTTTTCCCTCATGATCTAAGGTTGTTTTGCACTTTCCGTGCTTTGTTTTGACTGGGCTCTTCCTTATTTGGATGGAAATTGGTCTTCGCGATCTGCCGAAGTGCGGATCTCGGTTCCGACGGCCGGTTCCCTTCACATTGCCACCCTCATGTGTCATTAAACATGATGCGGATTTCTATATTCCCGTCATGGGTATAACTTCACAACGACTGGACCATTTGGGCTGAAAATTTGCATAACTATAGTTCCCTATTTTTCATAATTTCCGTGTAAATTTCGTTGTATGTTGTAATTATGGATCCTACGCAAATATCGTCTTTTCCCTGAGCTCGGACTTTGGATGTCGCTATTCCCATTATTGGATATCTCATTAATGCATGATCCTTTTATTATGAAAATTTGGGTGGATTAAGATTAGATCCCTTTCTTTCTAATGGGCCATCAAGCTCGTCTCGGTCGTTACTGGTTAGCCTTCACGCTTGCTTTTAAAACGTTGTCCTCGTTTTGCAGGAGTTTTAGTCATATCTCCGTCGTTTATGGGTAGTTTTCCCTGTAATTACTTTTATTGGGTCCGTTTGGGGGACATCTTCATTTCCTATTATAAACACGACTTTGAATTTTGCATTAGTTCCTGAGGAATCCTTGTTCTGTGGTACTTCCTGTCAGGGCACACCCGCTTGACCCGCCTCCACCTGGGCCCACCTCACCCGGTTCCCCTTCTCCCACCCTGCACCCCTCCTTCATACCCCTTCCCCCTCTATCCCTCTCCCACTTCCACTTCTATTTCTATTTCCATTTCTATTTCTATTTCTACTTCACACGGACAACCTTTCCCTTATATCCATGTATTATTGACCCGCCCATGACGCGCACACGACATGCCTAGCCCCAGACGACCCGGACGGCTCTAGGGCGCAACCTAGTGCGCGCACGTGCAGCATACACCCTCGGGATCCCCCATGGGGACACCCGGGTGACTGCAGCTGTATGCGGGGTGACGTGGCGGACCTCATGTGACCCAAGCCGCATGTATATAAACACACCTGGGGTGGGAACTGAAGAAGTAACCTTCTTCTCAACATTCCCACTTCAGGTAAGTAGCATAGTTCCCCTTTTAATAATAACTCAACATTCCCACATCGGGGCTGCCAGTATGCACGCCCGATCCACCCCCCGTGAGGTCCTCAGCACCGGACGCTACGCCCGGACTGCCTCGACCCCAGACGCGACCCTGACACTTCCATCCTTGGCTACGTGTGCAGATGTGGGAAAGTAGTTTCCGTGGAGGTTCTCTGATTGTTTCTATAGTCAAATCTTGGTCGATTGTCCTAATTCTTTCTTTAATATTTGGTATAAATTCCCCGAGAATTCCGTCTTGTTGATGCTAAGCTTGAAGTATTTTTGCTAATTTTCTTTCTTTCAATTTATTGCGTATAGTCATAATAATTCGTAAAAATTCGTAAAAATTCATTAAAATTCATTAAAATTCATTAAAATTCAGGCCCTTCTATTTTCTCATATCTACTTGTCGTATGGGGTTTTGTGATTTATCTGGCATATTTCCATAATGGGTTTCCATAGTGTGACCATTATTTCTCCTACAGCGTTGCTGAGTGTTGATATCAATGTCGAGTCGAG